GCATGATTTTCATAAGAAAAGGAAAGAAGTTTGTATCAAAACAAGGTCAATCTCAGCTTCACCTTCACTGAGAGGCTAGGGTTACTCTTTTCATAACTTTAATATGGTCTATCCTCAAGAACAAAAATGACAAAGTTTATGAGACAGTAGTGTTGTGATAACTCCAGAGAAAAGTCCATAGCGTGTGTACATTACTACCAATGCCCTGCATGCAGCCCTAGCGTGTTCCAGGTGTTCAGATCGTGGAGACAGTGGGAAGAGATGGGAGCAGGAAAAACACATCACACTTACATTTCCGTGTGCCTTTCACTTACGCATCATCCCTGCTCAGCTCTGAGAGCCTGGAACAGACTACACAGCTCTAAGATACATAAAATCTTAATCATGCAGAAATGTCCAAATCTTCAGCAATTAAGAGTTGTTTATAGTACTTAAAGACATAGGTCTCATCCATTCTTCCGTTTGTGTGGAAACTCTCTCAGATAAGAATTTGTCGAAATTTTGCGGTTGATGTGACGTGGAATACGAACTTGAGTGTAGACACGTGGTGATGTTTCTATGCTCTTTCCGCATGGTAAAAAAAAACCTTTTTGTAATCCTTGGGGGCATTGCTGTGGTTGGACTAATGAAATCAGTTGTTTTTATCTTATCACTTGAAAAGGTCTGGTATTGTCTTCAGCAACTCATAGTAAGGATCTGTACTCGCGTGACCAAGAGGAGTGTTTTTCTCTCATGCAAGAACTTCTAGAATTCATCCTTGCCCAACACTTATCGGATTCATCTTCACTCAATAAAACTTACAGGATTTGTACCCTTGGCGATTCCAGACTAAACTGCCTGAAAACCATACCCTTCACAGCAGCAGATACCTATATAGCCCATATATGGCAGTACCCCCCCCCCCCTAAGTATTTCCTGCTTTCACCCACATGCTGCACTAAGATCATAACTGACAAAAAAACCGTAATGGTCTATACTACCTCGAAATAGGGACACAAGACTGGTATGTGGAGCCATTCAATTCTGTGCCACTTAACGTTAATTTCAAAAAATTAACAGTTAGTTATAAGAAGAGTTCTCTAATCAATTACCAGCCAACAACTCTCAACAAGAACAAAAAAAATTAATTTACATACACTAGTTGCATCCTGCAAAAAAAACATTGTGTAGCCCAATTATGTCTTTGCTTACCTTTTATTATCACATTATACCATGGCATCACTGTTGTATAATGGACCCGTTGGTTTTCTCAGCCTGGTATTCCAGTAAAGGATAAACTCTAAGCCAGCTGAAAGTAATGTTTCAGAAGAGAGACACACTTAGAAATCAAAAACAATCATGTATAATAAATAGTGTATTTGTTGAAGGGTGGCTGCAAGACAATAGTTTTCAGCTTTTTCAGCACTTGAAGTGCATGCTTTGATGAATCTGCAATACCTACAAGGTTCATCATTAATTTTCGGTCAACAGTCAACTGAAGGTGAGGAATACACAGATGTAACTAAAACCCTAAACTTACATGTATATTTAAGTCATCAGTGACAAGAATGTCTAAAGAACTTATTGATTTCAAGATAGTCATTATGTTTCTTTTTGTTGTGAGAATGATACAGCTGTAAATAGTCAAAATGCTACATTTCAATACTCTCACTGTTTGAGACAACTGATGCCCCTGGCAAAAAATTCTGTTTGTTAGTTTTAACTTACTAAAATAGTTTGGCCTTTTTAACATTTGGGCCTAAAAAGTGTACCAATTTAGTCAGTCAGAGTTTGAGAACATTCACAGCACAAACTATTCTTAACCCGGGGTGTTAACAGGAGTACTCTCCATTTTCCCTTCCCATCTCCACAAAACTAATGGAATGAAGGGTTTGTCAGTCCTGGCACTACACAAAGATCTTTGTATGAACAGCCAGACAGATGAAATGAATAAAATAAATAAATAAATAAATAAATAACTATTTGCAGGTAGCACATCCACATAGTGGTTCTTCGTCTGATTCCTGGTCGAATTGGAATTTGGAAAGTTGGTTTTTGAGGAGAGGGGAAAACCGGAGTACCCGGAGAAAAACCTCTCGGGGCATTGGGAGATAACCAACAACAAACTCAACCCACATATGGTGTCGACGCCAGGATTTGAACCTGGGCCACATTGGTAGGAGGCGAGTGCTCTCACCACCGCGCCACCCTTGCTCCCTGCTAACGGGCTTGTTTATGTTTAACAAATAACAAAAAGGTGGGTTGACACTGCGAAAGCAGACCTGCCAACCAAATTGATTAAAGGTAAATTGGGAGACTCATGAAAAAAAATCTGTAGAGTCTACAAACAGTACGTGAAACTCTATTTTTTCCTGATCAAGATTTGTGGGAGGGGCGGGGGGAATAATTAGCATGCAATTAATGAATAAGGCTGAGTAGGATATGAAGAATTAAGCAGAAGGCCGAGGTGGATAACACCCACCTTCGCCTAGTTCCAGCTGTAGTTCTTACTCTTGAAGCGAGTGAAATGTCCACCATTTTTGCTTTCACAACCAAAACAACTCAACCTTGTCTCCAGGTCTTCTCAGTTAACGGTTTATTAACCTGTCGCGGGCTGCATTTTTAACGTCATTTCCCCGTTAAACACAAAATTCTTCCAAATTTGGTGATCAGTAACTGGTTATGGTGAATTATGCATGCGCTTTTAGCCAATCAGAATTAGGGAAATATTTTGAATGAATAATAGGTGTTTATTAAAATATTACCTTGCTTTATGCATAGTTCAATTTTACTTGTTTTTTTTGTAATTTATTATTTTTTATTAATTTTGAAGTTTTCATTTTACAGAGCAAAAGGAAAAACAAACAAACAATAACAAATTTTACTTCTTACCATCCCCCCTGGGCAACCCCCGAGACAAGTCCTGCCCTTTGGGCCTAGGGTGGGGAATTGTTTGAAGCAGTCCTGTCCTGGGGTTAGGGGGTGGGTCAAATAAAAAAATATCTTCTCTTTGATTTTGTGAAGTACTGTTATTTCTCGCGTGGCTTCAAAACGGCTGCAGACTTCAGGACTACATATTTTTAAGGAAAAATGAAGGAATTTGTCAGAAAGTGGTTGCAGAGGAAGAAACTTATCAAAATTAAAGTCTGTATTTAAAGGTATGTTTTAAAATTTGAAACGAATGTGCATATGATCCATACTCTAATGGATTTTATTTTCTGGAAAGGAAGGACAGAAATATTTCTTCAGCTTAGCTTTAAACCTCCTAGCCTGCATAGCAGTCACTTGGAAGTAGCGGGCACAAGAAAGAAAAGGGCACTACGCAGGCTAGCTTCCTCATCAATACATGAAAATTCAGGCTAAGGACACATACGTACCCCCATGAGAGGGCCTTTATCTCTTCCCTATTCTACTGACTCCCTCATGCGCGAGTGAGATCTCGTCGAGTTCTGCCATATTCTCCCACACTCTGCAGACAGGAGACTAATAACCTGCAAAAAACATCCGTTTCTCCTCGCTCTTCGTCGCTGGGGACGTTTCGCGTGGAGGAACGTCTGCGACTCAGCGACAGAAATTCCATACTGATGACGTAAGATCTGTCCAGAATCCAGTCAGAAGTGCTGATTGGTCGACAGAAGTAGTTACATTGTTTTAGCTATTGATTACAAATGACAGACAAAAGACAAAAGGCCACAAAGGTCAAATGTAAACGTGAAGAATCTCTAACAAAACAGTCAATATTTGTGGAATATGGTCTTCTCTAGAAGAAGCATTTGAGTTTTGCCGGAGCTTGTTGGCAGATGAGCACATTACACTTTACCAAAATCAACCAGAAGACACGTAAAGTTAGACAAATTTATATTTGAACCCCATGACTACCGGATTTATTATGTAAACGTTGATTTGCGCCATCAGTATGGAATTTCTGTCGCTGAGTCGCCGACGTTCCTCCGCGCGAAACGTTCCCAGCGGCGAAGAGCGAGGAGAAACGGATGTTTTCGCAGGCTAGGAGACTAAGGCCATCCTCTTTTTTTTCTCCTTTTACCGTCGTCCGACCGACCCAAATTTTTGGCATTTTCCAAAAAAATAAAGTAGCGACGTAGTTATACCATTTTTCACTTGAAATAATTCTTTTAATCTGAAAAATGAGCATAGTAACAGCATAGAGATACATGAACATTTTTCACAGTATATTGTACATTTTGTTAATCCAAATATGTGAATGTTAACTTTTAACGTTGTCCTGGGGTACCAGGGCCTACTATTCCGAGACTTCTTGTTTGTGTTTTTTTTGCTTTTCAATCCGACCGACCGACTCAATATCAGGAAACGCATTCGACGGTATGGCCTACTACTGCCTGCCTACTGGTATGCAGAACTCTTGGATCGTTTCCCGTAAAAAAGGTGACTCTTCCAGCAGGAAACTACTCTACGAGTTGTTTCTCTTACCTTGAGTAAAATAAAAGTTTCTTCGCTCTTTCCAGCCAAATTACTCCATGATCGCCAGGATCAAGCTCGATATCACTTCCGACTTCCCTCGAGCCTCTTGATCAAAACGAGGTTAAGGCGAAGTCGAGGTTAAGACCAGGCTGCCAAATTCCAGTGCCTGGTCACTCAGCATCATGGCCGCCAATGTTTAAACGTCAAGGAAGCGAACCTTCTGTTCGGTTTTCGCCCTTCTCTTGATTTAAAATGGGATCCTCAAAGAAACACAGAGAAAAAGACAAGGANCAGGAAACGCATTCGACGGTATGGCCTACTACTGCCTGCCTACTGGTATGCAGAACTCTTGGATCGTTTCCCGTAAAAAAGGTGACTCTTCCAGCAGGAAACTACTCTACGAGTTGTTTCTCTTACCTTGAGTAAAATAAAAGTTTCTTCGCTCTTTCCAGCCAAATTACTCCATGATCGCCAGGATCAAGCTCGATATCACTTCCGACTTCCCTCGAGCCTCTTGATCAAAACGAGGTTAAGGCGAAGTCGAGGTTAAGACCAGGCTGCCAAATTCCAGTGCCTGGTCACTCAGCATCATGGCCGCCAATGTTTAAACGTCAAGGAAGCGAACCTTCTGTTCGGTTTTCGCCCTTCTCTTGATTTAAAATGGGATCCTCAAAGAAACACAGAGAAAAAGACAAGGATAGAGACCGAGAAAAGAGGAGAGACAGGGAACGAAAACACCGTGAACGAGATAGTAATAAAGATCGTGACAAAGACTCGGATAAAGAAAGGAGGAGAAGGGAAGACAGAGCAAAAGAGAAGCGAAGTCATCCAGCAGAGGACGATGAAAGAGTAGAGAAGAAAAAGGTTAAAAGAGAAGAGTATGATGACTTATATGAGTATGCTGTGGAGGAATCGACGCGGGATGATCGTAGCAACGGTATGGTTAATTTTGACAAGAACTCGTGTTCAATGTTTAATATGCTTTTGGTGAGAAATATCTGTGCCGTGGCTATTCTAGTTACCAAGCTGTTCTTAAGTGTGTTTTCCAATGTTTTTATCAGATAATGACATGTCGCGAAACCATCAAGAAGGTGGAGAAGTATCACTAAGTATTGAAGAAACAAAGTAAGCCACAAAAAATACTGATGAATGTGTACATTTAAGGGCTGACTATTAGGGACATTAATTATTTTTAACTACTGCAATTTCATTATTGTATTGCAATAGGCCACATGGATATTTTGATAGTATTGGGATAGTGGAGGTACTATTGCAATAGTATCACTGTAGTTTCCTGACATTTCTGTTTTTAATTAATGCTTTATACTTTGTGAAAGGTTTGAACCCATGTTTGGAAACATGCTTTATACTTTATAACTAAGAAGGGGAGGTCATACAGTACAGTTACTACATGTATGCGGCTCAAGAATCAAGGCGCTAAAAGCTACATTCGTGATCCAGACCCCTTCCAGACCTGAATTAATGTAATTGAACGGACCAATCTGTTAATAATAAGGTCTCACCATGCACCAATCAGTAAGGAGCTGTAGCAATTATGAGGGTGACGGCAACAAGAACATCAAAAAAGGAATAGCTTTAGTCAGGAAAACAACAAACCCACATGTGCAGTGCAGGCTCATTTGCCGTCAATGCACACCTACAATGTAAAATTCCCTTAGGTTTTCTCCCTAAAAATTTAATGCCATTGAAATTTTATATACATGCATGTGATATTTCAAGTGTCTGAGTTAAATTAATGGTGACAATGTTTGAGAACATGCAAGTCGTTTTTAACAGTGACATTTTCCCTGCCTGTTGCCATTGTCATTGCTAAAGCACCCTGTAGTAGATCACAGATTGGCAAAAGAGCCCAAAATCTTCAAAATTTTGTAAGAAAAACCCTGCTTGCCCCATTTAGGGTTGGAGAATATTGATATTTTTTTATACAAAAGTAACCTCATTTCTGTGATCTATAGATTCTGTAGTGTTTATGTACAGTTGATTGTTCAAGTATTTTGTCTTGTTTTGAACTGTAACCAAGTTGTGCGGGCGACTAAAGGAGCCCATAATCCTAATCTCCAGGTTGTTATTTTACATGGTTGCATGTCTGTAGCCAGCATTCGTTTGGAATTCCACTAAGAATGAATGGAATACATAAAACGCAAGTTGGTCATGGACGTTTTGACCTTCTACCCTCGTAATCTGATACCATGTATTTTGACCAAAGGTGAAATTCACTTAAAAGTACAGTGTTGGAGCAAAAGCATTTGACTGCATTTGGACCTCCGATCCCTGTCACCTGCACTCCATAACCTTTGGTTATTTAATACTAGTGCTATATATTCCGGTTCTCTTAAGTTTTACTGTTACTGGGGCATAGAATGTCAATTGTTTCAGTGAGTTTGACATTGTTACAGTATTTACTGGTTTGTTGTATCAACGTGCCACTGTACTGACCAATTTATGGTAATACTTTTCAGTAAATTAAGAATCAAACTTGGACTTAAGCCACTTGAAATCCCTGATTCATCAGCAGACACAGAAGGTAAAGTACATCTCTGCACAATCTATGTTACAGGTCAATTTTGATTTCAGGTTGAAGTTTTTTAACCTACAGTGTAGGTTGATTATCAATTTCCTTTGTCAGCACAGACGTGATCTAATCCTGGCTATTACTGTCTGCGAAGCAACAATAAGATCCTTCAAACCTGATTGGCAAATTGACAATGGCTTTTTGAACAGGCCAATCATTGCACCTACTCAAATCCTGATACACAGGCAAGGGTCTAGAACAAGGATTTCATTCCTGGGCCGAGTTGTTCAAAGCAGGGTTAAGATAACCCAGGGTTTGTGCAAGATTTGAATTCAGTTGTGAAAACTTAAAAAGCATTTCAGTTTTGATTCCTTTTGTCTACAAGTTGTTGATTGGAAGCTTCAAAAATAACAGAGAAAATTATCCGAGAAAATGCTTTTGAACGCAAGAGAAAGAAACTCGGGTTAAATTTAATCCCGGGTTAAGTGCTAATCGTCCTTTGAACAACTGGGCCCTGGCTTGCAGATGGACTTAGCCAGAGATTTAGTTTCATCTGTGGTGCCGAATACTAGTAAGGACCAGCTGCAGATATTGAGAATCAACTTACAACCCTGTAGTTAAAGGAAAATTCAAAGGTCACCTCAAATCAAATTTGACCTGTAGCAAAATACACGATCTTACATCTTCAATTAATTCTGTCAATTTTGTTGCAAGTATAAAGTTATTAATAGAACAGATCCTCTGTAGTGTAGGCTCCTTTTTGCAGACTCAGTTTTGGGTCTGGGGACATAATAATTTAACTCAGAATTTCTAAGATTGTGTGAATGTATATTTGAGGTGTTGGTAAAGATCCGCCTCAGATACGATTACGATTCAGATAAGATTATTATGGATTTTCATACTTGATTGGCGCCAATTTTACTGACCCAAAAACGGGTCGGTGCGAATTGACCAATCAGAGTAGCTACCAAGGACCCTTGAAACATGACTTGTGGTTCAAATTCCAACATGGGGTCGATTGCGAGGTGGACTTTAACAGGCCAAACACGACTCAAGCTCGTGATAGTTTTGCTCTAACGAGGATATCTCCCAGCGATTTTGCTCTTTTGTATGAAATGATGGGAGGCTCGTTGTATATTTCTCTCAGTAGTGGTTGCTCTTGAATTAAGTGCCATTTGCTCATAAAAATTTTTTTAAGGTTCTGCAAAGCAGGGTGGTACGTGGTAACGAAAGGCAGAATTTGCTTTCGCACTTCAGTGTTTTTTTTTTTAAACCTGACTTCCGTTCGGTAAGTTTAACCTAAAGAAGACCTAAAGAAGGTCCTTAGCAGGATTTGAACCCAGTACCTTCAGTTTGACCCGACCTCACATAGCCACTACGCCACTGAGGATGGTCACATGATTTAGTGAAAAATCTCAAGTTTAATGCCTTTTCCATGGAACTTTCGCCGGCAAACAACTGGGGCAAATGATCGAGCCATAAAAACGAATCGAAGTGATGGGATGAAATTAAGGCTAATTGAAACCAGGCTACTGACATTAAAAAACAATGTAAACGCATTTCATGGCAATGAAAGAACATATGCGATACAAAGCCAACACAACTCCTCCACAAAGTAGGACGCAACACATTAGCTTATGTTTTCTTATCTCGATTTCCGCTGTTATTTTAAAAAGGTAATGCTCAAACTCACAAAGGCTTTTGAATCGTACTAATTTGAAAGATTCCTGCCTGTCTTAAATTTGGTAAGACCTCTATCCTAACCGTGCTGTAGCGCACGATGCACGCTCGCAGCGAGGAATTTGATGCTACCGAACTTCGGCGAGCGTATGCTTCTTTGGAAACGATAGATCTTCGCGCTCTCGAGTTCGGACCCGATTAATAATTATTACAAAATGCGTCTACTACGAGTGAGTGAGTGACTCATTTGCATATCTCAGTCCCTGCAATAACTCGTGGTACGCTTGCGCGTACCCACGATTTAAGAAATGTGGAAGGTCTATTGTAGTACCCATAAGTATTAATATAAAAGTTAAGACCCATCCATGTAGGTACATGTTGAACTTTGAGTAAGGCAAATTCTCTAAAATACAACTAAATTCATGATTCCTTCTCTCCCTTTCCCTCCCATTTTCTCCTGTTGAACCCAGACATGACTGAGAGAGTTTGCTTACAGGCTACATGTGTATGACCACTGATTCTCCATGATGAATTTTACGCCTGACATCTTTTGGTTCTGCTTTGTACAGTGTGCATTTATTGTGTGGAATTGTCGAAGAGAACTGATAATTACAAGAAGAGTCAAATTATTGATCTTTCCTGCAAAATTCATAGTTTATACATCTTCATGTACATGTTCCCTTTTTGTGTTTCTGCATAATGCAAGAAGAACTAGACACATTCAAGTAAAATCTAATTCTGTATTTTATGCACTATGACAATAATATTTAGTTTAAAAGAAAGCTGGAAGAAATGAGAGAAAAGAGGAGNACATTAGCTTATGTTTTCTTATCTCGATTTCCGCTGTTATTTTAAAAAGGTAATGCTCAAACTCACAAAGGCTTTTGAATCGTACTAATTTGAAAGATTCCTGCCTGTCTTAAATTTGGTAAGACCTCTATCCTAACCGTGCTGTAGCGCACGATGCACGCTCGCAGCGAGGAATTTGATGCTACCGAACTTCGGCGAGCGTTTGCTTCTTTGGAAACGATAGATCTTCGCGCTCTCGAGTTCAGACCCGAATAATTACGAAGTGCGTCTACTACGAGTGAGTGAGTGACTCATTTGCATATCTCAGTCCCTGCAATAACTCGTGGTACGCTTGCGCGTACCCACGATTTAAGAAATGTGGAAGGTCTATTGTAGTACCCATAAGTATTAATATAAAAGTTAAGACCCATCCATGTAGGTACATGTTGAACTTTGAGTAAGGCAAATTCTCTAAAATACAACTAAATTCATGATTCCTTCTCTCCCTTTCCCTCCCATTTTCTCCTGTTGAACCCAGACATGACTGAGAGAGTTTGCTTACAGGCTACATGTGTATGACCACTGATTCTCCATGATGAATTTTACGCCTGACATCTTTTGGTTCTGCTTTGTACATTGTGCATTTATTGTGTGGAATTGTCGAAGAGAACTGATAATTACAAGAAGAGTCAAATTATTGATCTTTCCTGCAAAATTCATAGTTTATACATCTTCATGTACATGTTCCCTTTTTGTGTTTCTGCATAATGCAAGAAGAACTAGACACATTCAAGTAAAATCTAATTCTGTATTTTTATGCACTATGACAATAATATTTAGTTTAAAAGAAAGCTGGAAGAAATGAGAGAAAAGAGGAGAATAAACAAGAAACTAGGGTGAGTTTAATAATAGGAATTCAAGAGTAGTTAAATGTCAATCTGTTCAAAAATTACAGGCCCGGGTTGCTCAAAGCATGGTTAGTGCTAACCAGCGTTAAATACCATGGAAACCTGTACATTTTGATACCTCTTAACCAACGGTTAGCGCTAACCAGGCTTCGAGCAACCGGCCCCAGGAGAATAAGTATGTATACACATGTGATTCTCATGTACATGTACATTACATGTAGTTGCACAAAAAATTATGATTGTTTGGTCTCCTTTCTCAATTTCCCTGCTGATTTTAAGAAAACTTTGTCTTATTGTTAGAAGCTTTCATAGTAGAAAGTATTGACATTATTTTATTGATCTGTGAAGAGGGAAAAAAGTCCATTATTGTTGTGGAGGTGAACCTTTGACTTACTATTGCACAATCAATGCTTTACTGTTTGATCTGCACACCAAGGTGTTATAGGTCAAAGCTGAATTGTAGTTAACTGTTGTCTTTTTCTCCTACATAGCTCTAATAATTTAATTATCTGTAAATTAGGGCTAGGACACAAAGGAAATTGATGATCAACCTTAATTGAAAAATTTTAACCTAAAATATTAAATTATGAGCTATAATATAAAATAATTATGCCCAAGACCAGCTGGAAGTACAAAAATTAATGTAGTCCCTGCAAAATCTCTTCATTACAGCTGTAGGTGGAACATGTCCTTGGTTCTTGATCAAATACTTGTACAAAATAGTAAATTAAAATCATTACTACAATCTATACTGTCTCTTTTGTCATTGTTATTAAATTTATCTTGCAAAAAGTTCCATTAAACTGTGGCTGGTATCTTTTCTTGTATAGTAAAGTAAAAAGTCTGGGTGCAGCAGATAGTGATGATGATGATTCTGCTGCTTCTTGGGTGGCCAAGAGCAGGAAGAAGGAGAACGAAAAAAGCCTGGCTGAGAAACGAGTAAGTTACCATCATAGTTCATACAATCTTGAAAAGGTCTTCAATTTTGATAGTCGTCTTAAAAAGCCATTGAATTTGGTTAATTCATTTACATTTGGCAGAGCTAAACATAGTGGCAGTGACAGAATGTAAATACTTCCCATTTTCAGATCCACTGTCAGATCTTGGTAGTGCTTCTGATTGGTTGTGCCACATGGGAAATTTGCTTCAACCAATCAGAAGCACTACCCAGATCTGGGTAGTGACACGTCATCAGTATGGAATTTCTGTGCTCATTTCTCAGATGTCATTTTTCAGGGGAAACAGTGGTGGCGTCATGAAATGGTGGCTGTTTTCTCAGGCTATAGTAAATACGGTAACCCTCTATAAGCCTCTCTTTACTTGGTAGATCAGAGATTAGACCACTCAGTGTCCGGGAATTGATGGGTTTAATCCCTTGTTGTGCATGAATGTAATATTGTTAGCTGTCTTCTCTAGTCTATTGAGCAGTGCTACTCTTTTCAGAGACAAGCAGCAGTATGCACATCATGTTGCAACTTTGCTGAAATAAAATTAATGTAATAATATTATAATTCTATAAGAATAATAATAATATCATTGTGGTCTATAGCTTCTATGAGAGCACCCACTAGCCTTGCCCAGGTTTAACAAGACTGTAGGTAAGAAAGGGTTGTTGACTTTTCAACATAATTAAATAAAATTATTTTTTCTCTTTTAGGCTAAATTACTGGCAGAAATGGATGAGGAGTTTGGGATAAGTGACCTGGTAGAGGAGGAATTTGGATCTCTTGCTAGGCCAACAAGACAAGTAAGGATATTCAGTACAATAATAAATTATTCTTTATAAACAACTCACATTATTATTATTATCATCAAAAGTGTATGTAGAGCGGCAGTTGAGGGCGCACTTGGAAAAAACTTGTCATACGTGATTTCTGATCAAACTGCTCAACTCTCCTTTTATGAATCTCAATGATGTTTACCTGTCATGTATAAATAAGAGAGATCAAGAATTCATTTAGAGCCTATTTTCCTTGCACCTTTTGAACAAATTCATTGGGCTAGTAAGTTCAAATAATTATCTATTCAAATGTTCTTAAAGTATAGCCTGAATGAAAATGCTGACAGCCATCTTTAACACCTTCAGAAGCCTATTTAGGGCTACCGACACCTGTGACGTTTTTAGTTTTGATAAAGATGGCTGTCATTCGTCGAAACTGTCAGCATCATTAGAATTTTTCTTTTGGGCTATGCGTTGAGAACATTGAATACATTTTCTTGCACCTGTAAACCTCATTATTTTTGAAATATGTACATGTACGTGTACACAGAATATGGTTTGAAAGGTTGCACTACATCCTGCTGATTGGGAAAGGACATCGTGAGACCTAGGGGGAGATAGTAAAGTCATCAGAAAGGTGATTGGTGCTATGATAGAAATGAGATGGTGAATTTTAACCCGGGGAAATACTTGAGAAAGATGAAAAATCATCTTTCTCTTGATTGGTGCCTTAAAGGTGTCTGCTGTGTAGGATTAGCTGAAAGTTGCATGTCTCTGATTTAACAGAATTCTAGGGTTACAAGAAGTACGCCTTCTGGATTCCATGTCATTAACACAGCAAACCATCCCTTGGGATGGTTTTGCAGCATCACAAATGAGCTGTTGATGGGCTTTAAATGAAACGAATGTATTTGATCACATGAAATTGTATGATATTACACTGTTTGCTCAAGGCTGTGCTCTAAGTAGTAGAGCAACCTGGGCAACCTGCTTTTGGTAACATAGAAATCCCTTTTTTTGTACACTTGATGGGTGCCCTGTGTTCCAAAGGTTCAGAGCTTTTGGCACAATTTTTTCTTAGTAAGAGTACAGCCTTGAATTATCTCTTATGATTTACAGATACAGTGTAATACTATTATTTTTATTTCTAGGCCTACTCTAGTCGTGATCTAAGAGGCTTGAAAGTTGAACACTCACAAGAGCATTTTACGGTGAGTCAATCATTTCAGAAGAGGAGGGCCAAAGTTCATCAATGGCGTGTTTACGAGTGACAGGTGACAGGTGACAGGTGGCGTGTTTACGAGTGACAGGTTTACGAGTGACAGGTTATTTTCAGATTCATAGTAAGAAGCACAGAGAGTGAATGCAGAGCCCAAATACACATATAGTGCACTGTTGCTTTTGCCAGAGTGGTACTCCAGATTTAAAGTAACCAGGATGCTTAAAAAGTTTTGAGGGGTTTGGATCCTTTCATGGAAAGTTTTTTAGGTTTGAAAATTTAGCATGGGATTTTAGGGGTGTTAATTTGTACGGTTAAATTGTAGATCATAGTTTATGAGACAGTTATGTGACCCCAATTACATGACTATTGTACATGTATGACTCTTGCTTTGTCAATACTAGAAAAAAACCAACCTTCTCCTTTTACCATGCATGGCCATGATGATACTCTGAAATGCTAATGTGAAATTTTTTTTCAGGAGGGAAGTTCAGTGATAATGACTCTAAAAGATGCCTGTAAGTTGATGTATTTATATTCTTCAGTACTGTCAATCGTTATAACCTTATAACATTAATTTTACCAGTAACATTAAGATTTAGAGCAATAAAACTGAAAAAATAAAAAATAAACTAATGTCCCAAATTGTAAGAAAAAGTGCCTGTTTTTTAGAAGAGGACATTAATTAAAATATTTATTTTTTCTTCTGTCCATGACCTGGTCATTTTAGCTGTTCTTGATGCTGATGTTGAAGAAACTTTAATTAATGTAAATATTGTGGACAAAGAAAAGGTAAGATTTTTTAGGTTCAGATGGATCTGCAGGTGACCTGCATTTGAGGTCAAGTTTGTGCCATTTTGTACTTTGTATGAGAGAAATTGACTTTTTGGGGGCATTTTCTTTTCTTTCCTCAGGGAAACAAAAACGTAGAGCTTAGAAAAAAGAAGCCTGACTACAGGCCATATGATGAACCAGATATGGATGAATATGGCATGGTAAGATTTCCATGAATTTCCATCTCTTTATTATTATCAATCTTTTTTTATGATTGTCTTCTATATTCCAGCATTATTATCCTTATCATCTTCATCATTATTGTCCTTGTCATCATTATCATCACAACCACCACCACCACCACCACTATAATCATTGTCATTATCATCATCAGTAGCAGCGCCATCAGCTTCATTCTCTCTCATATGCATTTGTATAATTTTTGTTATCACCATCCTAATTTTTATTGTAGTCGTGATTCATAATTACCACCACCTGTTATCCTGATCCTGATTTGTACCGAGTGGTTATGTGACTGAGACAGATGATTCATTGATCTCCTGCTTAAACTAATAGAATTTCATAATAATAACTAACTAATAGAATTCCTGTGTATTGTTAAGTGAAAATTGTGGCTCCTGTGTTATTTGTAGTACTTGAGAATTTTTAAAAATATTTTAAGCATTTTTCTGTATATTGTAGTGGGGATAACTCCGTAATCTTTTAACTTTTAAATTTTTACCTTTTATAAATTTTAGATTTTAGAGAATTATAAATTCACCATATGATACCATGTATAAACTCATTTTACAATTTTTTTTCGTATTATTTTAGTCTCCCCAATTAGCTTTTAGAAGCTAAAGACGTCGACACTTAAATAAAGTTATGTTATGTTATATTGTGCTCACTGTAAGGTCAAAGCAAGAGGAGTTTTAGATAAATATGATGAAGAAATCGAAGGAGAACAAAAACAGTCATTTGTCCTAGGTAAGCATGCCTTGCTAAAAGTGAACAGGTGCTTTTGATAATGTTTGCTAAATGACTTGTGGTGCATTGTCCCTGTAGCTCCATTGTTCACTGTTTATGTTAGGTTTGTTTTCTCAGAATTTCTTGCTGTGTCTTCAGAGTGGTTTTCCGTTTTGTGTAGAATTTACTTGTCTACTTGTATTCTGTAGAGTGCTCTGATAATTATCGTATCAACTGAAAGCATGTTGGTCACTTGTTCATCAGTTAGATAATGCGGATGCATCTTAATAACATCAGTCAATTTTGCGTTACATTTTTTTTACAAATTATTGTTCTATGAGTTAGAACCTGTGCCCTGCTGAAACATCATTAGTGAGCCTTACGATAATTTCCAAAAAGTGTGGAAACAATATGAGGAAAGGGCTTAGTACCATACTATTTGTAAATAATATGTGAAACTACGTGACATGGTGAAGAAAGAAAAAGAAAAAGGGCTAGAGCAAGAGGACTGATTGTCAGAGAATGACTCCAAGCCCTTAGCAAAATCCTAGTAGTCCATAGGCATCTTGCAGCTCTCAGTCATGTGCCAGGATTTTTAATTTCTGTCTAGTTCGTCCCCGTGTCACTCAGTCATCAGAAAAACATCTACGATTTTGTGTTATCTCATGCAACAAATGCTGTTGTTTGTAGGTTCGGGAGGAACATATGACACATCAAAAGAAGATGAAGTAAAAAAGGTACGTCGCTCACATTCAGTTCAAAGTGTCTTTCCTTCTCCACTTAAGAAATGAGAGGGAAACTGGGACTATTTAATTTTGCAAGGACTTCTGGGACTGTTACCAGGAAGAGTGGAAAACATTGGCCAATAGCTGGCCAGCAAGTCCCCAGTGACAATCCCACAAACAATAGGGAGTTTTTGGAATTGAGGACGGCTACTGCAGCGAAAACGTCACTTTTTAAATGAATTAGTGTTTTTCAAACTTTATCGCGTTTATTCCAATTCGTTTGAAAATGTCCAATGTAGGCAAATTTCCCTGGAGTTGATTTCTTGAGGACTGCACTCAAGTTTAAAAAGAGAAAATTACATCCTCCCTAAAACGTGAAATTAGGCATTTTCACGTTGTAGTCGTGCAGCAACGGCAAAGAAAGGTACAGAAAAGCAAGATGCATGTGCAAACTTGTTGTTTTGTTTAATAAACCTATTGCTGTTTTGACATTCTTGTTGCCCTAAAACTCCCTAATTGCGGGATGCATTTCAGCTCCAGTTCCCATCTTGCTTCTAAAGTGGTGAAAGTATAACCTGTAATATTGCTCTCTTACATCAACCTGCTGTTTGACTGTGTAAAAATGGCAACCTTCATAATGACTACACGATCAATGGTTGTACTTAATTTCATATTTTCCTTTTAGATACAAGCCAAACTAAAAGCCCAAATGGTAGGTGCATATTAAGCTATAAAAATAATCATACAGACATTATGTACTTCAGCTTTTGCAAAAGCTTCATTCCTCCGCACTGAAGAACTGGTAAAAAGAAACAGCCTAGCTTGAACACTTCGTAAGTTCTTTTTCGTCTTTGTGTTCAAATTACAGCGGTGATCATATTGGCGTGAACACCTAAAATATGTCTGGAATGTTTTCTGTGATGTAACCAATCACAGACGAGATCATCACACCACAGAAACCACAGCCAACGAACGGTTTCCTGTCTGTCATGGAACAAATTATTTTCATTTCGTTTTAACATTCAGTCTTTTTACAAGTAAACAATTGCTTTTCCTTCCTATTTGTTTACAGTATTTGCTATAATAGCGAAGAATACAGGTTTGAGCGATTTTGAAATAAATTACAAAGCCGACGTGCCGGGCCTACGCACGTGACGGTTTGGCGAGCGAGTTTTCAAACTTTTTGTAACGATCGAAATCGGTAGTTACGCCTGATCGTAGGTAGTAGATAGTAGTTCGAAGATTCAATCGTTAGTTCACACAAATCGAATCCCCTTGTTCTACAAAAAAATATTAGCAAGGATTGTGCTATCAGAAACGAAAACATCACGATTGTTCAGTTTTTATTGTCTTCATGTTATATGTCGTTACATGGAAAGTTGGTTGCCGTCGCGTCACGTTGGCTTCTAAAACTTTTCTTTCTAAAATCGAACGATGTACTGGATGCGGTCCTCGGCACTGATCTTGGGGAACAGCGTTGTTTTAAATTCCTACTAAGGCAGTTTGTATCGTTAAACAAAACGAAAATAATTTGTTCCGTGACAGATAGGAAACCGTTCGTTGCCTGTGGTTTCTGTGGTGTGAAGATCTCACCTGTGATTGGTTGCAGCACAATAAACATTCCAGACATATTTTAGGTGTTCACGCCAATATAATCACCGCTGTAACGTAATCTCTAATCAACTTTGCCCTTCAAGATCGAAATTAACCCTTTCACTTGAAATGGTGCCCAGTGGAAGAAAAAATCAAAAGTTTTGCTAAAGAGGGTTCATTTGAGTGCTAACACCAAAGGATTTCGCCCATAGATTTAAAAGTTAATGACAAATTACATGTGTCTTGCCCTAGCTTGGTACAAAAGCAAAATATCTGTATACTAGATAAACTCAGTAAAGGAGCTAAACCCATCAGGACACCTTAGGTGTAGACTGCAAAATAGCCCATATTTTTTCATTGGTCAAGGATCTGTGAGTGGTCAAACAAAAGTTCTGAAGCAAGAGTGTAAATGGAGAGTAAGACTAGGGAAAGAGGCACTTGTGAGGCTTGTACACTTTCCACCTTAAAAAAAAATTTTAACTTTTAAATTTTTACCTTTTATAAATTTTAGATTTTAGAGAATTATAAATTCACCATATGATACCATGTATAAACTCATTTTACAATTTTTTTTCGTATTATTTTAGTCTCCCCAATTAGCTTTTATGAGCTAAAGACATCGACACTTAAATGAAGTTATGTTATGTTATATTGTGCTCACTGTAAGGTCAAAGCAAGAGGAGTTTTAGATAAATATGATGAAGAAATCGAAGGAGAACAAAAACAGTCATTTGTCCTAGGTAAGCATGTCTTGCAAAAAGTGAAGAGGTGCTTTTGATTATTCTTGCTGAATGACTTGTGGTGCATTGTCCCTGTAGCTCCATTGTTCACTGTCTATGTTAGGTTTGTTTTCTGAAAATTTCTTGCTGTGTCTTCAGAGTGGTTTTCCGTTTTCATCTTGTGTAGAATTTACTTGTCTACTTGTATTCTGTAGAGTGCTCTGATAATTATCGTATCAACTGAAAGCATGTTGGTCACTTGTTCATCAGTTAGATAATGCAGATGCATCTTAAGAATATCAGTCAATTTTGCCTTTAATTTTTTTTTTTACAAATTATTGGTCTATGAGTTAGAACCTATGCCCTGCTGAAACATCATTAGCGAGCCTTAAGGTAATTTCCAAAAAATGTGGAAACAATATGAGGAAAGGGCTTAGTAGCATATTACTTGTAAATGATATGTGAAACTGTGTGACATGGTGAAGAGAGAAAAACAAAAAGGGCTAGAGCAAGAGGACTGATTGTCAGAGAATGACTCCAAGCCCTTGGCAAAATCCTAGTAGTCCATAGGCATCTTGCAGCTCTCAGTCATGTGCCAGGATTATTAATTTGGGTCTAGTTTGTCCCCATGTCACTCAGTGATCAGAAAAACGTCTGCCATTTTGTATTATCTCATGCGACAAATGCTGTTGTTTGTAGGTTCGGGAGGAACATATGACACATCAAAAGAAGATGAAGTAAAAAAGGTACGCCCTCACATCCAGTTCAAAGTGTCTTTCCTTCTCCACTTAAGAAATGAGAGGGAAACTGGGACTATTTAATTTTGCAAAGACTTCTGGGACTGTTACCAGGAAGAGTGGAAAACATTGGCCAATAGCTGGCCAGCAAGTCCACAATGACAATTTACCAGGAAGAGTGGAAAACATTGGCCAATAGCTGGCCAGCAAGTCCCCAATGACAATCCCGCAAACAATAGGGAGTTTGGAATTGAGGACGGCTACTGCAGTGAAAGCGTCACTTTTTAAATGAATCAGTGTTTTTCAAACTTTATCGTGTTTATTCCAATTCGCTTGAAAATGTCTAATGTAGGCAAATTTCCCTGGAGTTGATTTCTTGGGGACTGCACTCAAGTTTAAAAAGAGAAAATTACATCCTCCCTAAAATGTGAAATTAGGCAATTTCACGTTGTAGTCGTGCAGCAACGGCAAAGAAAGGTACAAAAAAGCAAGATGCATGTGCAAACTTGTTGTTTTGTTTAATAAACCTATTGCTGTTTTGACATTCTTGTTGCCCTAAAACTCCCTAATATTGTGGGATGCATTTCAGCTCCAGTTCCCATCTTGCTTGTAAAGTGGTGAAAGTATAACCTGTAATATTGCTCTCTTACATCAACCTGCTGTTTGACTGTGTAAAAGTGGCAACCTTCATAATGACTACACGATCAATGGTTGTACTTAATTTCATGTTTTCCTTTTAGATACAAGCCAAACTAAAAGCCCAAATGGTAGGTGCATATTAAGCTATAAAAATAATCATACATAATGTACTTCAGCTTTTGCAAAAGCTTCATTCCTCCGCACTGAATAGCCGCTAAAAAGAATCAGCCTAGCTTGAAGACTTCCTAAGTTCTTTTTACGTCTTTGTGTTCAAATTAATGTAATCTCTAATCAACTTTGCCCTTCAAGATCAAAATTAACCCTTTCACTTGAAATGGTGCCCAGTGGACGAAAAAATCAAAAGTTTTGCTAAAGAGGGTTCATTTGAGTGCTAACACCAAAGGATTTCGTCCATAGATTTAAAAGTTAATGACAAACTACATGTGTCTTGCCCTAGTTTGGTACAAAAGCAAAAGATCTGTATACTAGATAAACTCAGTAAAGGAGCTAAACCCATCAGGACACCTTAGGTGTAGACTGCAAAATAGCCCATATTTTTTCATTGGTCAAGGACCTGTGAGTGGTCAAACAAAAGTTCTGAAGCAAGAGTGTAAATGGAGAGTAAGACTAGGGAAAGAGGCACTTGTGAGGCTTGTACACTTTCCACCTTAAAAAAAAACGATTTTGAGAGTAAAAACCCGACTCTTGTGTAGTCTACCCAAGATGCTATATTGAGGGCTCCAGGAGTAACATGTGTGTATAGTCGAACATGAACTAACGGCCACCTCGGGGAGCAAGGGTGGAGCAGTGGTGAGAGCACTTGCCTCCCACCAATGTGGCCCGGGTTCAAATCCTAGTGTTGATGCCATATTTGAGTTGAGGTTGTTGTTGGTTCTCTCCCTTGTTCCGAGAGGTTTTTCTCCAGGCATTCCGTTTTCCCCTCTCCTCAAAAACCAATACTTCCAAATTCCAATTTGACCATTAACCAGGTAGACGAAGAACCACGAAGGGGATGTGCTACCTCTAAAATCTTTATTTATTTATTTGTTTTTTGCACCCCCCCGCTTTAGATTTAACCTCTCTAAAATGGCCAGTTGCCTCTGTCCCATAGGAAGCCATTGTAGAAAGGCTTGACTGTGATTACATTAATTTTGTATTTAACCCACATACAAATTCTCCGAACTGATCTCCATACATTTCCTTTAAGAATTAGTTAAAAGAATTTGATAAAAGATAAAAGCATTTTTCCTTTGGTGATCATTTTATTAATTCTCACACCTTCTTCTCTTGATAACGCATTCATATTGTTAAGAGAAAATTGATGTTGGTCACTATTAGGACTTAAAGGGTTAAGGTGTGCTCGCATTGCAGTACAGTAGTTTAAAACTCAGGTGCTAATAAAGGTTGGCAGTGTCAGCTGATTTTTTAAAGTAACACACAGCTCCTTGATTAGTGCTGGAAAGAAGTTGCCACCGTTAACCCTTTAAGCCTTAAGAGTGCTCAGCATCCAAATTTCTCATTGTAATATCAATGCTTTGTAAAACAGAGTGGTCATGAGAATTACGGACATGATCACACGGGATGAATTTGCTTGATATTTTATCAACTTCTCCCCACCACTTCTGTAGGAAATGAATAGGGGCAACAAATGAGAATTTAAATTATGATCTTAGGGTTTAAAGGGTTAAGTCTTCAAAAGAGGCATTTTCTTATTCAACTTTATTGTTGGCAGGTTTCGTTAGAAATGGCAAAGCCTCAGCTGGCAGCAGAATACTATACGCAGGAAGAAATGGTAACAGATACTGTAGTGTTACAACATTATTATTCTTATCGGTAACTATTCTATAATTATCATTTGTCTATTTCATAAACATGGCCGTGTACTGGTAGAATTTTAGCCTTTATCACAGGCGTATCTTTGGGCAATCAGAAAGTACTTGCCCAGGGAGTCTAGAAATAGCAACCCTATGGTTGGTGGGATTGCCCTCCTCCCCGCTCCCTGAGCCTGATAAAATAGCTGGCATTTTGTGACACCACCACTGGTTTCCACTGCAAAATGACGTCTGAGAAACAAGCGCAGAAATTCCATACTGATGACAGATCTGGGTTGTGCTTCTGATTGGTCGTGCCAAGTAGAAAATTTGCCTCAGCCAATCAGAAGCACTACCCAGATCTGGGTAGTGACGTGTCATCAGTATGGAATTTCTGCTCTCATTCCTCAGACCTCTTTCGCGGGAAAACCAATGGTGACGTCGTTAAATGTCAGCTGTTTTCTCAGGCTACCACTCCCTTCACCTTGGCCCAACACCTTGACTACTACAGTCGACTCTCTCTTAATGGACACCTCTGTAAAATGGACACTTAGAGTTGGCCCCTGCCTTTGTTTATTCCCTTTATTTGACTCTCTATAAGATGGACTCCTCTCCAAGACGGACACTTAGTGCTGGTCCCAAAGGTGTCCATCTTAGAGAGAGTTGACTGTATATTTTTTAACATGGTGTTTATGCGAGCAAAAGCATCCGCACACCTGCAGAAAACGCGAAGACCCAGTTTTTCCAAAAGCTGAATATCACTATCCAACAGATAATTTACTATCCAGTGGATAACCAATTGTGTAATTCACTGGCTAGAGAATGAATTATCCAGTGGATAGCGTTATCCACCTTTTGAGCAACACGGACCTGTAATGCAGGCTAGGAGAATTACCGAGTATATTTCTCAGCTCTTAGATTTGTTTCAAACCCATAGGTTGGTCTGGATCCATGTAGATCCAATGTAATGAATGGAGAATGTTGTCAGTGAGCAAAGGTGTTTTGAAATTCAGCAAAGCCTTCCTGTAACTGTTAAAAGGGTTTCTTATGTTAGGAAAGTTAACACTTTATATTGCCCCACCCTTCCCTCCCTCAGTTTTCCAGCGCTTTTTTTTCTATCTGAAAACCCAAAAACAAGACTTTGTTAGCTGACATTATATACTTTGGCTAGGTGAAATTTAAGAAGCCAAAGAAAAGAAGAAAAATCAAGAAGAGGGAGACCTTGAAGGTAACACTGAGTCTCTGCTAAGGAAATGTGACTGAAACTCCTTGGATCTGAGATGAGTTTGTAGAAGTGTTTCTACTAGGCAACTACACATACTGTTCAACAAGTTATTGCCGATAAGATCCTGGACAAACATTTTTTTAGCACGTTCTACCTCCATTGAACATAACATTGAGATTTCATAAGACACTGTTGTATGTTGTGGTATCCATGGCTCAAGTTTTACTTTCCTTCGTTGGGGGATATGGCAGTGTACTATAACAATTTTAATGGTATGGCTGATTCATGTGTTGGAAGTTTCGATTTGTATTTGATTTTCGGCTGCATGACCGCTAACTTCATGTGCTCGAGCTTTTCCACTTTGCATTCTAGTTCTTTATGGACTGATACCATCTTCTGGTGAAAAAGCTGCATAGCACCCAGTATCACTAAGTATTATCCCCGCCCCTCCCCCCCCCCCCTTCAAAACGCCTTGAAATAAATAAGTCCCCGGGAGGCCCTTTGCAGAATTTACAGTAGCCTCCGTTTGACGTGTTTAGTCAACCCCAGACACCTCTTGTTCTTATTTATTTTGGCGATCACAAGCGTGTAATGTTTATTTGACTCGAGTTTGTCGAGAAAATGGCGCTACTCAGGTGTCTTAGCGATGTGACGCCGACCAGTTGCCGACCATGTTCCGGATCATATGGAAACCAAGCTTAACAACCATTACTCAGTAACGACTGTATTCATTCCACAGGCAGATGATCTTGAAGTGTTACCTGGTCAAACAGATTTACACAGTGATCGTGGCTCAAGGTATGGTGGACTGATATTATTCTGGAAGTAGAAGGGGTGTTGGGGTGTTAGATTGTTCTTAATGACACTGCTTCTGAGTGGTTAGTGCGAATGCTAGATTTCTCTTGCGTATTTATACACCCAGGGTTCTATCGAGGGTATTTGAGGGGTAGAAGCTCCCCCCCCCCGCCCAAATATATTGCTATCATTACAGTGTATAAGTAACTCTCTCGGAAAATCATCCAGACGCGACGAGGTCAGTGCTCATGAAGTAAGTATTCCCTGTCTAATGACACTATATGACAAGAAACAAGATCACGACTAAAAAATGAAATGAAATACCACAGTAACATTTCACAAAATTGTGTCTCAAAATGCACCAGATTGCATCTCAGTTGCATATTCTTTTAAAAATTTCCGAGGGGCATGCCCCCGGATCCCTCTAGGAAGCTCGTGGCCTTTGGCCACTCGGGACTTCTCCCCCAAACGATAAATCCTAGATATAGCCCTGACGCAGTCCAGCCCCTCCAATGTTTTAATTAACGGAAGGAAAAGGCTTCTTCCCTATGGAGGCAACGATTTTTTAGTGCTCAGTCGAATCTACCCCCTCTGCTTTCATAAACCAAGATGGGGGACTATCATTGTACATTGTATGAGGAGTTCGCTCTCCCACAAAGGCCAAAAACAGGGATGGTTTTAGGCATTCAACAGGTGCTGATGACCATATCCTCGTGTTGCATTTGTATGTGGTTCTATTATTTTACAAGGTGGTAAAATTAATACGAAAGGTAAATTGTCTTTTCTCTACGTTACTATATGTATACAGAGCTGTGAAGTCAATCCTAAAGAATGCTCCTAAAAGACGGGAGCAAGAAGATCAAGAAGACATGATGGAACTGGATCCACTGGAACCAGAGGACGAAGGTTTGATTTACTCCATAGTTTCAGTTGTACGGTTAAACAAAGGAAATTATTGACGGCCTTAACTTCCTAGACAGCAAGTGGTCTCTCATTTTCCTCAGAGATAGTAAAACGTGGGAAATATGTCGGCATGCGTGAAAATGGCCGCGCGCGAGGAGAGACGAGATGGTGAGGAAGGAGAGAAATTTTCACGTGCGCTCGGGTAATTCGGTCGCTCTACTGTCCATGTGAAAAATGAGGGACTGGTCGTAGCCTGATAACTGCCAAGGTATCAGTAACGTTTAGGCAACCGCAATGTGAGAGAGAATAAATAAAAAACCATTGAGAATGCGTTCCAATTGATTCATTACTTAGTTACTTAGCTTGGTGTCGTTGATTTCTTTTTTAGAAATCCTTGCAGCTGAGAATGACTACGGTGGAATAATTGAAGAGGATGATGCCCAGCTGGAATTACAACTGGCATTAGAAAGGTGATCTTATTCGTGTCATTTATTGTAAGACGGTGATATTAGAAACATTAGTTTTGATTTTACAAGTTATATACGCGTTAGGGTGCATCTGAGGCCTATGGCTGCATCATAGCCTGCAAGGCGAGCGAAGCAAGACGCAAGAGATTGCGTGAAGGAGAGGTGAAGCCCCGTCCGTGCTTGTGTGCAGCTCGCGCGTGACTTATCGCGAAATCCCTAAAAGGAGAACTAGCTTGTAGTCTTGCCGCATCATTAAGGTGGCCGCATTAATGCCGGACAAATTAAAGTGGGCATATGGCGGGGTTCCTTTTAGGTGATTATTTTGCGTTTGCATGTCTGATGTTAATAGCGTTATTATTTTCTCTAGATCGCGTCGACTGAAGCAAAAGAAGGCAGCAACTGGCGTTGAAAGGGTGAGTATTCAAGGTAGAGCATTATCTTAGTTATAAAAACTGCTGATTTGTTAAATCAGATTGTTGGTTACCGGACTTTGGGTCCTGTTGACTCGGGTTCTAGTAATTCCAGGCAGAACCTCTTTTATATACTTCAAGGAGTTCCTACTCCTTGGTTTCATGTACCTAAAGCCCGAGAAAGGTACCCTCTTTGGGCGGAGCCTCCCCGTATAGGTCATCATAGGGGTAACAATTAATGTATCCAGGGCTGTCACTAAGATTTCAAGTTGCCGGGTAAATACTAGCCTGCGTGGCAGGCGTTTGAAAGGGAAGGGAAAGGGAGTTTTAGGCGCGAGACGTGTTTCTCTCGCGCCTAAAATTCCCTTTCCCTTCCCTTTCAAACGCAGGCTTGGTAAACACAACAAGAAGGCGGCGAATCAAACAGCTAGGCTTTTCTTTTGGTTCTATTTTTCTTCCATTTTCCTATGAAAGTAGCCGGGGAAAATCCCCGGCCCCCGGATCTTAATGACAGCCCTGTGTGTCTGTGTGGTGTGATTTCGTAGGTAATTGAGGCACTTGCCACCGTTAAGAAAGAAAAAGAAGAAGAAGAGACGGATAAGAAAGGTAATTATAGGGCTTCCTCTAATGATTTCTCCTTTCCCAGCTGATCAGTACTTCGAGTTACGGACCTTATGCCATTCCCACGCTTGGCTAACTATCCTGATTCTCAGCCGTCCAAGGTCGTACGCGGTCCCTTCTGGAAGAGAAGCGAAGGGACAGTGAACGACCACGGACGTCTGAAAATGAGGCTATTGGCTAACTGGATGGTGAAAAAAAGAAATAACAAGCTTGAATTTCAATTTTATTGTAGACTTCTCCTGTAGCTTATCTGCTAGAGCATCTGCCGGACAAGTCTAGTAACCAGAAGTTGATATGTTCTCATCCTTTCAGGAGAACTCAGTGTACTCTTTGACCTCTTTGAGAACTCTGTGAATCCCTTTGGGATAACTCTATGACCCTCATGACCCTACAATACTCGTCACAAATCGTTGAAACAGAAACCATTTGTCTTGAATTTTCTCCCAATTTCTTACATTCACTCTTCACACCTTTGTTCTCATTCAAATGTGTCCCTCTCCTTCCCCAATGTTGAGCCACGCGTATTTTGGAGCACTGAGATGACTGCAATCCCAAATCAACATTGGCAAGGGGAAAATCACACAAGTGTTTCAAGATTTGTGACGAGTATTGTAGCTCCCAGAATTCTTCGGTTGCTCAGTGGAAGAGCATGCGTAGTTACAGTTGGACCTCTCCACAATGGACACCTTAGGGACACAAGAAAGTGGCCGTTATAAAGAGGTGGCCGTTGTAGATAGGTTATAACAACAGTCAATGTGTGGATTATTTGTCCGCTGGGAGAGGTGGTTGTTAGTTGAATTCCGACTGTAGTCCAGTAACCAGAATGTCATATGGTTCGACTATCCTGTAGGGAGAATTCGGATTTTTGTCCGCGTCGGTGTGTCACTGACTGAAGAAGCATCATTTACAAACGTGAAGAGTTTAAAAAAGTATGAGTGGCTTTTGTTTTGTTTCTTAACTAATGACTGGATTGTTGCTTGTGAATTTTAGATTCCATCATCTTGAACTCCACATCTGAGTTTTGTCGCACACTGGGTGAAATACCGACGATAAGTAAGTACCATATTGCACTTATATTGTGCTTATCTCCTACCGATAACTCTAGCTTTAAAATATTAAGGACTGGTAAAAGAATGCAGGAGGGTGGGCCGGAGAATTAAGAAATGTGTTGGATAAAAAAAAAAACCTGACCCACCCCCTCCTTGCCTGCGAGCAAACTCTCCTTTTGAGGGAGTCGCGAGAAGTCACGCAAGATCCGCACGCTAAGGGAAACGCGAGTGCGAGGGGTTCTCTCGCGTTTCGCTTCGCCCGAGCTTGTTAGTATGCTAAGCCCCTCCTTTTGGCACAAAACGACTGGGCCAACTGTCCTCTCCCACAACACGAAGCCATGCCGAAGAACTTCTGCGTGGGAGGCTATTCGCACTGATACTATAAGTAAAAGTCTTCTTTTAAGGCCCTGGCTCCAGTTGCTTAAACTTTGGATAGCGCTATCCACAGGATAATCACTATCCAGCGCATAGAGTGGTTTTCGTTTGAGTGTCGTAAAACCAATACCAAAGTAATTACTCTGGCCAATCACATAGGACACAGACAATACATTCAACCAATCAAAACTCGAAGTAATTACATGTGGCTGACGCAAAGCGCGGGAAAATGCATGCGTGTCACAATTGGCTTTGGTTTTACTTCTGATTGGATGAAAAGGTGGCGCGAATCTTTTAAGCCAATCGCATCGTGTAGAAAGTGCAAAACCAATTACTTTTCGACACTCAAATGAAAACCGCTCTAAGTTTTAGACAAACCAATTGCATTATCCACTGGATAGAGATTTATCCGGTGGATAGCGTTATCCAACGTTTGAACTACCGGGGCTTGGAATTGTTTTTTTCTTCGAGTTCTACTGAAGTCCTCGAAGGCTCATATTGTACCCTGGAGATTTAAGTAGCTTTAAATATCACGGTAAAACGCAGCACTGATGGAGAGAGGGGGTTAAAACAAGTGTACCGTCAGCCTCAGGTTTGGTTAAGTCGGACGATGACTATTTCGAGCTACCGACGTAAAAAATTGACTCTTTACCTATACCTTTTAGCCTGGAAAATTCCTGGAATTGTATTCTCCCTCAGTAATGCTTGATCCGTCTAGATAGCACTGGCTATACCTGTGGGCAGACTTCCTTGGCTTGCTGGCCTTTTGTAGCACGGTTATTTAGCAAGCAGGGATTTTGTTACCTCTGCGTCCTGTGTCCCTGACGCCTAAAAATCCCCAGGCGCAAAATAATTCATGGCATGTGTCTCGTAGGCGATCTGAACATGTGTATTTGTTGTAATGTCCCGTTCGGGTAATTTCTGTGGCAGTTGTTATGGCTATTTTGCTGTTCTTTAAAATAGAAGGACTATACTTAAATTTCAGTATACTGTAATACAGAGTTTTGGAGTCTGTCTTCAGATTAACTGTCTGATTACATAAAGGCCAAAACATTTTCCATTTCGGACTCGTTTCTTTTTTTTAACTGGGACTCATTGGTTCCGAACTTGAACTCATGATTTTTCTCAAGATGAGTCCTAGGACTCACCATAACTATTTGTAACAAATTCACGGAGTAAGGTGTAATTTTGCTTCCTCTTAGGTGCACCTGGTGAACAAGCTGAAGAGGAAGAGGATGATACAGAGGTATGAAAAACTGCCACACTATATTAGCCTCCCACGCAAACGTTCTTAGGGGTTCGTCAAGCGTTCCTACCCCACGAGAGGAATGATTGCGTGACGAGCCCGTAAGAACGTCTGCGTGGGAGGCTAACACTATATAAGATTTTTATTAACGATCAAAATATTAAAAGGGTTTTAATGTAGCGGAATTCCCCCCTTTTGAGAGTTATGTCCAGAAATGCACCCTAATAAGATTCATGCTCGTCATGACATACCTCACGAAGTGTCCCCTAGCCCTAATCTTCGCCCTGGTTGTTCAAAAGTTAAATAGCGCTATCCACCGGATGAATTGCTTTCCAGCGGATAAGTCTTGTGGAAATAAAGTGATTTATCCAGTGGATAGGTTTATCCATTCACCTTTTGAACAACTGCGACCTGGCCCGGGTTGCTCGAAGCATGGTTAGTGCTAACCAGCGTTAAATACCATGGAAACCTATACATTTTGATACCTCTTAACCAACGGTTAGCGCTAACCAGGCTTCGAGCAACCGGCCCCTGAACGTTTGCAGTTGTGTCAAACGTGGATTGATTTGGAAATTTTTAATTCTCGTGATAATCAGTGAAGAATTCGAAGTCCGAGTTATGTTCTTTTCTAGGCATTAGTTTCTTTTGATTTTTTTGTCCCTGAACTAATAATGACTCTCTACTCTTCGCTGAATTTAAATAGGACCAGTTATTATCAGAAGCTGTAAAAGTGAAAATCTGGAAGGTTTATAAATGTTAGTGTACGCAGGAATCTCTTGCGGAGATTTGCACGAGTAGAATTTTTAGATTTTCGGTTGCATTTCAGCGAAAATCAGCAATAACAAACCAAAAGTCTGTTGCGTAAGATCCTTAAAACCGACTTCGTAAAATATTAGTCCAAACGTTATGTTGTGGTTCATTTTTATCCTTTTTTGAACTCTATTTTTCTTTTTTGGGGGGTATGGAAATGTATGGTGGAAAATTTGAAATAAAGGAGATAAACTTTAAACCAAGGATAAAAATAGAAAGAGTATTGCCAACTTTTTTCTGATTAGTAAAATATGTTGTTTTACAGTGGCGCATGGATGTGGAGAAAGACGAAGAAGCTGAGCCGCAAGGAGGTTGGGAATGGGTTAAAACTCAAGAGGAAAAGATCAAGAAAGAACGGGAAAAAGTTTGTTGGTTTTCCTGTACTGCTTAAATCGATTACGTTTTCTGTACACACATCTCGCACGTAATTAATATCCATTATCTCGAGCGATCATAACGAACGATCGAACGATCTCGAACGATCGAACGATCATTGGCTGGATGGGGAGACTGATTTTTAGTTATGCATTCTGATGGACTGTCGGGAAGGCAAAATGTCTCTGATAGGCGCTTACCAATTCCCAGAACTTTCTGAACAGACCAGTTCAGTTGTAAAGAGAATTTCACTGTTAATAAGGAATATCCAGACTAGTCTCTTCATAAATTGTATGCACCGCGGCATTGATTGGTCGAGTGAAAATTTTGGGGAACGACTAATTATTTCATTTTCAAAATCACCGGTCCTGCCGGCCAATTTTGAGTTTTGGTAAGCGCCTGATGATATAGGCGGCAAGCAATCGATAGAGAACGGTCTTAAGGCTTGTTTCCGTGTTGCCATGAAAACGATCGAAATCTTACGTTAAAGTTAAAACCTGACAAACTTCATTTCTTATATCTATATATATATATATTGTCCGTGCCAAATTTGAGCTTTATACCTGCAACGAATCTTAAAATAACACCCCGATGAATAGTAGTCATAGTAACGACTTAAAACCTATCAAACTGTGTTAAGCCACCTTAAGAGTACCATTGAAAAAGTAACGATCAGCACAGTTGTTTAGTGCGCGGCGTTTTGTGCGAAAGGCTCCGAGTTCGATTTCCATGTGTAACCCCCAAATCCTTGTTTCGACTTTTCTCCTTTACAGCTGTTTCGGATTGCGCGCAACCTGCGGTGTCAAAAACTTCTTTGGATTTTGGGTTTTTCTGCGACGTTCAATCATCTTAGCGGACCTCTTAGAAAACAACTACAAGTTCACTTCAGCGGGTTCAAAATGAGGGATTTCGATCTGTTTTGTGTGTTTCAAGTTTCGCTGCTTTTGAACTTCAGAGTTCGCGTGTTTACAAGTTTTAGCTCTCAAGTTTTTTTACCTTCTTTCCGAAACATGGCAAGTTTAGATTCCCAAGGTGAAATTGTTCCTATAGAGCTTCCTAATCCAGCATGAACACAGATATGGGAGGGTGAAAACGAATCATACGTGCCCGCCAACATTTAATTTTGCTGCTTCTGCTTGTTATTGCCGCCTTTATTTGACAAGCAAGGACTGGATGCTATGGTAACGGTTTGATTGACGTCAAAGAAAAACCCAAAATCCTGAAACGTTTTTGGCAACGCAAGTCGCGTGTTATCCGAAACAGTTGCAAGTGTAGCTTTAGGAAGCTGTAAATTCCCGTAAAACGAAGCACTGATGGTGAGAAGGAGGGGTGCGATTGGAGGTAAAATGAGCGCACCGGCGGCCTCATTTTATCAGCCTAATGAGTACTGTTACGAGTTGCCGACATGAATTAAGGACCTTCACGTTTGCCTTTCTACCGTAAATTAAACTTTGGTTTTGGCCAGTTAAACCAATAATAACTCTAACTCCTTCTTGCCTTTATTTGTATTTAAGGAAACTGAAAGTAGCATTCTTGAAGCAGAGCCTCTGGTTGGCACAGGAGTGGGAGCTGCCTTGTTTCTTGCATCTAAAAAAGGTAACTGCATCGCAAAAAAACTGCCCACCTACCGCTTCCCTGAGCCAACATTAACACTTACTTTTCACTTAGGGCAAAATGTTGGCTTAGGGGAGGGGTAGGTGAGCAGTTTCCCAGAAACGTATAATGACCCAAAGATTGTAACAAAGGCTCTTTGCGCTTCCCCGTCTAGAGGCCATTTTTTTTTTTTTAAATTTTGAGCCGGCGAAGAATTTTAACAGCACGGTTTTTTCTACATTACGAATAGCCCACGTTCGATATATTAAAATTCTAACGTGAGTCAGAGGCTCTCTGGTCATTTTCCTATATTTGGTTTGGTTTTCGTTGTGCTCAAGTCTCTTTTGGGAATTGCGAGACAATGGAGTCTTGAAAAATTTGCAATTTTGACCCTAAAGCCTCGGAGTCATGTTAGAATTTTATTATATCGAACGTGGGCGTCTTGTTTGTAATATGCTTTTCGACTTTTCAATCAGGTGATTTATTTTTCCTTAACTTCCCCTACTGAATACGAGTCGATACTACAGGAAAAAATGTGTCGTGATTAGAAGATGAGCACGCGATGTCGCACTAAGAAACTAACGCTCTCGTGTTGAAATTCATTTAGGTCTATTGGAACAAACAACTAAAACCAAGAATGAAGGCAAAGCTCTTCCGTTTCTGCCATCTGTCGGTGTTGTGGATGAAGAAAAGATGCGGTGAGTCTCAGAGCTCCCTTTAAAATTTGCCTCAGCTTAAACTTTGCACATTTTTTTTGTCCCAGTGTCAGTTATTAGTCGTTGAGGTTAGTTGTGGAGGTTGACCACTTATCATCGTAATTAATAAACACTGAAGACCTCATTTATGAGCTACACGCTCTAGAAAAGCAGTCTTTTAGAATTTTTGCTTGTAGATTTTCCATGAATAAACTAATCAACTGCAGTCAATCTGTCGGCCATTCAGCCAGCAAGTCAGTTAGAGAGTGCGTTAGTCCGTCAATAACCAAATTTTTGCGAATTACTCTTTACTAGAAGAAACGTTTCATGAATATTAACAAAGTTAAATATTGGATGTTTTCTCTTAGTGACTTTTCAAATGTTTTGAAATCTTCGATAAATTGCCTCTAAGTTCTTAAACTGAAAGTTCTTTTGTACAATAAACAAAATGATACCGGAGACGTTTCTCTGCGCACTCATCTTTTCAAGTCTGTCTGATTTTCATTTTCTTTTTTTTTCTCTTGCAGCGAGGAAGAAAGAGAACGCGGTGGACGACCGCCTAGGTAAATATTTTCTTTTTACTATTCAACTATAATAGACCATTTGACCGATACGGCAGCCATATTGAATTTATTAGATTTAACGAGTATTATGGGATACCCAGGGGCATGAGCACTATTCCGATATACTGGCTCAGTATTTACGCGCGCTTTTCTGGCCAATTGTTCTTTAAGTTTTCCTAGAAAAAGATTGTAATGGGAAAAAAATATCGTTGTGTCGTGTTTGGATGTAATAATGATCGCCTTTTTTCCCGAGAAATATACGTTGAAGTTCTCTTTTTGCCCGAAAAGCGCGCGTAAATACTAAGCGAGTGCTCCCTGGGCATCCCATAATACTCCTTAAATCTAATAAATTCAATATGGCCGCCGTATCGGTAAAAAGGTCTATTAGTGTGTTTTTCGTCCTACGTTCTTACGAGAAGCAAAAATGAAAGAGAGGTAAACCATACCTTTTTTTTTCCAGGGATTTTGACAGGGACCGCGATAGAGACCGTGACAGAGACAGGTGAGTGGGTCACCTTTTATTTAACTCCTCAGCTTCCGAAAGTGTTTAAAAAAGGAAACGCCCCAACATTTGCAAATTCTAGTCTGTGAGATCTTGAATGTGAAAAAACTGCTCAGTAGCTTTCGCCTGAATGGCAACACTTTAGGATTTCACTCACACGCTCAGACGTTAGATCCACCTCACAGGAAAGTACTGCCCAGTAGCTTTCATTTGAATGGTCGCGCTTTAGGATTCCATTCACAGACTCAAAAGTTGAAACACTCTTTACAGCATAATAAACAGTACCACAGGGAAGTACTGCTCAGTAGCTTTCATTTGAATGGTCACACTTTAGGATTTCACCCATAGGTTCAAAAAATATAACTACCTTATACCGAATAATTAACAGTACCACAGGAAAGTATTTCCTATTGACTTTCATCTAATTGTTCAACGGCACCAAACGACTCCTTCCAAAGACTCAAAAGTTGCCCGTATCCCGTATCCTGATAACCTGAAATACTGCCGCTTTAGAGGCTTGGCCGTTTCTGGCCAAACTATCAACATGAAAATGTATGCCTTTGTTAATGAAGATAAATAAAGCCTGGGTAGTGAGACAAACGAAGCCGCACCGGAGACGATAGTTAAACATTATTTACTGACTATGATTGGTGATGATCCCTGTATTGCCTTTGTTAGATACGGTGGTGGATCCAGGAACAAACAGGATTACAAGCCTGATATAAAACTGGAGTACTATGATGACAATGGCCGCTTCCTTTCACCTAAAGAGGTACTCACAGTTTGTAGTAAGAACTAAGGCACACGCGCGCGGCTTTGGATACTCTGGCGAACTGGGGAAAACGCGCGTGGGGCTTGGTTGATTTAATGATTGTTGACAAGTGCGTGCGTGTGTTTCTGATTAGCTTAAGGAATGGGTGAAAACGCGCGTGGATTTGTGTTAAATTTAGCAGATGGAGGCAAGCGCTCTTGACTTAAGCTTCTGATCCGTTAGAGAATCCACGCATAGGCGAGATACTCTTTGTGATTAGTAAAGCGGACGGAGATAAGCACTCTTGGCTTTGGTTGGCTTAGTGAATGAACTCAGATCAGCTGACTTTTGATTGGTGACTTTGGAAATTCGGAATTAAGACGTAGAAGGTAGCGCGTAATGTTTCGATGACAAATGCGTCCTGCACATATTTATCTTTCAGGCTTTCCGTTTCTTGTCCCATAAGTTCCATGGAAAAGCGTCCGGCAAGACGAAGACAGAAAAAAGGAATAAGAAACGGCAAGACGAAGTGGTAAGTGCATAACAGTATTAAATTACATTATACCAACAATGAACGTCATTGCTTCAACATTGAAATTTTTAAGACATAAACAGCGCCACCACAAATTATTTATTACAGTAAAAAGTTTCAAAACAGTAAAAGCTTTCAATCTTAAGTCTAAAATGTAATTGTTAAAATTTGTAAAAACGTTATAAAAATGCTTTCTTAAAAGGGAAAGTTTTAAGTTTGTTTGAAAAAACGGACACTGAGGAGCTGTTAATGTCAGACAGCAGAGTATTCCAGAGTGTGGGGGCTGCCACGGAGAAAGATCCTGCACCGTATGTTCTCAAATTAAAATGCGGAATAGACAGGTGTTACTCGATTCATATCGAGTAAGTGAAAGAAAGGCTCTGCTGGCTGGATGGTCATGGGTCAGACTGCTGTTATAAAACCCGAATTCAAACTATACAATTAGTCCGAGACTGAGTCAATCAGTAAGTCTTTGGGCCTTCTCCATTTGTCAGAACTGGCCGGCCAGACCGTTCCCATTGTAATGAGAAATTCACTTTTAATCAAGACTATCCAGCCAGATCAGTCAAATCCTAAGTAGTATGGAAGGAAGAGATGTTTTGTTCAGCAAAACCTTTGGAAAAAGCGTTTTTCATTGTCAAAATGACAGGTCCGGCCATAGTCGGAAAGTGCCCTTAATTCAGCTTGTGTGCTATCGCTTGCGTTTACAGGCGCTTCAGAAGATGAACTCAGGAGACACGCCTCTCAACACCACTGCCCTTCTCATAGAAAAACAGAAAACCGCGCAGTCGCCTTACGTCATACTTAGTGGAGCAGGACAAACCTTCTCCACAGGGTGGGTGACAAGTTTATTTGCCGTACTCTAGACTGATTGTGTTATCTTCGCAAGGCAAACTTAGCAATTAAAGATTAAAAGGCTTAACTTAAAGCATCTCTAGAGGACCTGTGTTCATCCACCTGTCTCCTCCCGGGGCAGGGGCGTGGGGGGGCCTCGTTTTTCTCTCAGAGGCGAGCGCGAGTGACTGGTGGCGAAGCGCAAGGGACCATGGGGAGGAGAAAGAAGAGAGCCGAGCAAATTTTCATCGAGAGAGAGACGTCTGAGTACGAGGCAGGTTCAGTCACCATAATCAATTAAAACGCTTTGGTGGGGGGGAGAGATCATTACAGTATTCAGACTAATGTATTACTCTACTTATCATCAGTACCCTTTGTCAGAATCTTTCCCAACAAGAGTTGAATCTCTACTACATCTGTGCAGTATGCTTCTGCTTATGATTGTCTCGTGTAAATTAAGCCTTATTCGGCTTCGACCTAACGATTCTTCATCTTTTACATTTTTTTCAGGACGACAATCTCGAAAAGGAAGTAACAATCTGTTCCTCGATACTCATTCTGTGTATTGCAATACAGATGAAAGATAAAACAGTACCTGTTATCTTGCTATAAATCTCTACATTTTAATTAACTAGACTTAACATTATTAATGAACGTATGTAAAATTGCCCTATGCTTTTTTTATTAAAGTGGATTTGTTACTTAACACGGTAACGTTACACAGAACAAGTAGTGTGACGAGTATTGTACTCTTAATGGCTTTGCAAATACAGTAGCAAGACCAAGCACGTATTTTGATTGCCTTAAAAGACTGAGCGCACGCGAGAAAGTGCTCGCCTTGAACGGGTCCTTTGTGTCACACTGTCTAAACCTTTGTGATGTTCATTAACGTAAATTGTTGCTGCAGTTTGTTTTAGTTTATTGTGCTCTACTTTTCCACTGATTCTTAGAAAATTTAGGAAGTGGCAAAATTGAAATTCAGAACTAAAACTTATAATGGCTTGAAAAACTGAACAGTCGACGTTGTGGCGCCGCAAAACGTCAGTCTGTTTTCCCAGGCTACTGTGAAAATAACGCTGTTTTTATTTTTAGAAATTCTGAAAAACAAATATGACCACACGTTAGTTCTAACAACCGTTTCATATGGTTGACACTTTTCGGCACACATTTCTTTGACGTCCACTTCACGACCACGACGACAAACTACCTAATTTGACGTTTTATTGAGGACGTGGACACACAACGACGAATTTTTCTTTTTCTTCCTAAACTTGTATATTCTTAAGAATTCAAGTCAGGAAAGTTAGCTCACCTGGAAATGAGAGAGGCTAAATTAAGGCCGAAGAATTTGAAAGAACGCAATTTTGTTTATTTAGATGACGTTTTCACGGCCGTCTTTGTCGGGGTAGCTTGAGCTCCTTAATAAACAGCACCTCGAGGAAGAACTTCTGCAATAATGTTCAACTGAAAACAGCCCAAAACGAGGACATCTGTTGACCAGTAGTTTCCTGTTTTGCTGTTTATTATGCCGTTAACTTGCAAGCATTGGTTTCCTCTGTTCACGACGAGCAAGATTCGGAAACCGCGGGCGGTTAACATTGACCAAAAAATTCAGGAAATTCGATGGAAATGAGAAGACCTATATATTAAAACGCGAACTTTTGTTAAACGTGGTTTTGAATTTTAGTTTTTTACAAAGAAATAATAGACCATGTATTGTATTTTTTTTCTTTATTCCAAACAGAGTTTTAAAGGAGGGTTGTGGTGTTTTTTGTCGCAAAATGGAACAGTTTAACAAAAAATGTAGCATTAACGCGAAATGTCAGGGGCACCCAACGTCAATTTTCGGAAAATATCCGTTCGGAAGACGATTTGAGATCTAGAATTTTCGGAACATTTGTTGTAAAATTTCTTACTTTCCTGCCTCTGCTAGGATTTTCGAACATCTAAAAAAAAAAATGGTATAATTGCCCATTTTAACGGATTTTTCCCTAAAAAGGTCACCTAGAATTTTCGGGAGCCTTTTTTTTTGGCGGAAATTTTCGAAAAGGTAAGTTTTAATCCTATAAATTTGGATCACTAGACTTTCAGCTAGGAAATTTAGGAAATTTAGGAAATTTCAGCTAGGAAATCCGAACAGATGAAAAATGTTAAGGGGATAAAAATATGCCTATATCTACCGTTTTAATACTAAAATACGTTCAACAATGCTATGTTTAAGTGATTTTAAACTATATTCTCGTTTGGTGCCCCTGAAAAGACGCAAACCAGTGGCGGATCCAGGGTAGGGGCCAGGGGGGCTAGCCCCCCCCTCCCCCGCTTATTTTTAGACCAAACTGAGGCCCAAAGGGCCCAAAAACCTTTTTTTGAGACCCCACCCCCCCTCCTTATCTATGGGTCTGGATCCGGCACTGCAAACTGTAACATTAACTCGAATTTGAACAACCTAACGTGAAAATATCACCTTTGGTATGGCTACATAATAAATCGCGCCTTTTTAAAGTGAAAAGGTTTGGTATTTCATTGGTGTTTATATAATAAATAGAACATTACATGGGCGCGTGGAGATACGAAGTTTCTCTTCGAGTATTGAAAAATATTTCATGAGTGAGCGCAGCGAACGAGTGAAATATTTTTATTCTTTTGCAGATGAAGAGAAACCAGTTTTGCTTTATAGCTTGCTTTTTAGAAATAACACAAGACCCTCCGTATCAGAGTCTTTAGACGTAAGGTAGGCATTCTACATTCTTGGAGAAAACGAAACGCAAAAGCCTTATAAACTTAGGGATGTAGCCACGGGAAGGCGAAAACTCGTGCTATTTTCCCATTCTTGATTTGTGCGGGGAAGAGTGCCTTAATTCCACATCTATCTAGGAAGATATGGGCAACAAAGTCTGAAAGAAATTGGAACTTACTGAAGTTTAGTAAGATATGGACGTTGCCTTTTTCCCTATTATGCGTCAAACAACGATCATTTCCACCGATTGTATTTCAACGTCTTATTCTCATTAAGGGTTCCAAGAAAGGAAACGGAAAACTTTCAGAATTTCTGATCCCCACAAAAAAACTCCAAGTAATAGTCAGAAATTCTTACCCCCATAAAGTACTCTAAGCAACATTGACAAATTTTGACCGCCCACTGAGACTTAAACTCCGATCCAAAAGATCATTCAAAATTCTTACCCCCTTAAAGATAGACGGAGCTCCAAAAAACTTTTAGAAATTGTGATTCCCACAAACAACCCCTAACAACATTCAAAAATTCTAATACTTAAAAACTACAGAAATTGATTCCCACGAAGAACTTCGAAAAAAGTTCAGAAAATCTTATCCCTATCGAGGATTTACACAAACGTTCAAGAATTCTCACTACCATAAAACCCCCCCAAAAAAACATTCAGAATTTCTGATCCCAGACCTCCACACATCATTCAGAAATTCAAATCTCCACGAGGAATTCCAAAAGACAATCAGAAGTTTTGATCCCCACAAAGGACTCTAAGACTGAAAGCGTGCAGAAATTCTGATCCCCACAAAGAACTCCAAAAAGACAAGTCAGAAATTCTTACCCCCAGAAAGAACTCAAAAAAAAAACATTCAGCATTCAGAGAGTCTGATTCTCACAAACAACTCCAAAAAACGTTCAGAAATTCTTATTATTCTCCATAAATAACTCTTGAAACCTTCCGGCGTCCTCAGGCCCCATAAAGAACTCCTTAAAACATTATAAAATACTGATTCCCCAAACAGAATTCCAGAACGTACCATTTAGAAATGTCAAATCCCCACAAAGAACTCCAAAAGACAAGCAGAACATTTGATCCCCATTAAGCACTTTCAAACTGAAAACGTGCAGATATTTTGATCCCCACAAGGAACTCACAAACTGAAGACAATCAGAAATTGTTACCCCCAGAAAGAACTCCAAATTGATACTGACATTCAGAAATTCAAATGCCTACAAATTGAACTCCAAAAACGTCCAGAAATTCTGATCCCCGCAAAGAGCTCCAAAAGACGTCCAGAAATTCTGATCCCCGCAAAGAGCTCCAAAAGACGTCCAGAAATTCTGATCTCCATAATAAAATGACTTAGAAATCATTCAGAAATTCTCGCTCCCATAAAGAACTGCAAATAAACGTTCAGAAATTCTGATCAAAAGTCAGTGAAGTGTGATTGTTTGATGCATGACCTCAAATATCACAATTCCGTTCAAATTTACCTAGTTTATTACCAGTTTTTGCAAAGCTAATAATAAGCAACTTAGCATGTGAACTATGATCATGCGTTCATTTCCTTGGGCGCGAAAAAGCTCAGGAAGAAACGCCGTGTTACGCTCGGAGGAGGGGGGGTGGCTATACTCAAAAATAGGTTTTATAGGGGGAGGCTCAGCCCCAAGGTTTAACCCCTTATCCTTTTATACCATCATTTTTGACAGAAAGGTACCCCTTCGTATACCTTTTAATGACAAATGGTACCCCTTTCACATACCTACCTAGTTTAGAACTTTGCATCCCTTTTAACTGCTGTAAATACACCGTCTTTGAAGTATGAATAAATCACCAAACCAGAACGTTTTCCGGACTTTTACACAGCTATTAACGCATCTGTTAGCCCGGTCTTTGGGGCCTTTTTACAGACCGAATTGACAGATTTCCCAATCCTTTCATCTACTTCAAATAGTGGAATACCCTTTCATAAACCTTCAGCCTGAAACAGGCACCCCTCTCGAGCGGAGCCTCCCCGTATAGGCTAATATAGGGAATACCCCCCGGGTGTGTTACTGAGCGTCTGTATGTAGCTTTGTTCCTGACACATGACACTTTATCCCACCGACAGCTTTTAATGACAATTTCAGTGCTTTTAACTTTTAACAAATGCAATTGATGTTTATCGGTTTTCTTCAGTGAATTGTCCACTACAAACATGTAATTTGTACCGTACTGGGAAAAAAAATTTAATTCGATATTCATCAATCAATTAATACATTTTTTTTCTCCACACCTCTCTCTGCTCACATTGAGTGTGCTTTGTTTTCTTTTGACGCGGTGGAAAAAAAAATTTTTTGGCAATACCGCAGAGCAGGCAATTGGGGATAACCCTGAATTGGAAGCAATCATCGATTATTGTACAAAACGTGCTTCATCCTTCATCCCAATTTTACCCTAATTTATTTCTGCTCGCTTCTCTGTGTGTGCTTTATTCATTTCTATTTTAATTTCTTTGCTGGGTGTAACCGTATCGTGACCACAAAAATATGTGAAAGGTCAGTGAAATACGAACTGGCGTTTGGGACAGGCCATCAAATGATGAAACCGGATACACAAATTTTGCAGTGACCGGTAAATTTTGAATGAGTTAAAAACAGTTGCACACTCGAGAGAGTTTACAAGCACAACAAGGCAGAGCGAAGCGTGGCTGTCTACAAAATACAATCAACCAAGGTTGTGGCACAAACAGATTGTACTATTTGGCGAAGGGAATATTTGGAAAACTCCTTTTCGTTCAGATAAACAACTAATTGGACACAAATTCAGTGTGTTTCCACAGTTGCTGTGTGTGTCCGTTGGAGATTTCAGCGAGTGAGTAGATTATTGCATGATTTAAACTATGTTAACGCCTCTCAATATTTTATAGCTTTTTAAAATGGTTAGAATAGACTGACAACAGTAGTTTAGAATGGCGATGGCCGGCTTTAAAATGAGTTGTACAGGTTCAGGGCATTGATATATACAGTAAATCAGCATTTCGAAATACTTGCTGTCGTTGACAATATTTAAAGTTTGAAAAAGCTGAAATTAAAGATAGATGGCTGGGTCTAATGACATCAAACGCATCGCATTAACGTTTCCATAGAGTATTAAACTAGAACATTACAAATCTGATGTGTATTGAAAATACTGCCAATTGTGCACTCGCGAGGAACTCGCGCGAGAGGGGTAAGTTCTTCTCTTAGATATTTTCCATTAGATAGGTCGACTACTGTACACCGGTAGGTTTAAGTTTAAGTATTGGTAGGCCTTTATCTCTCCATAAGGGTAAGTTGAACAGGGTGTTACCTTAGTGCGCACGAAAAACTCTTCGGCCCCCGCGTGTCTCGCGCGTTCGCGCGATTAACAAGGTACGCAGCTCATATCCTTTTTACAGATTAACTCTAAGGTACGTGTTCTTGGTTTAGAACCAACACACAGTAAGTGTCTTTCGCTTTTCTTACAATTAATACGTAATAACTAAATTAATAAGCGATCTTGTCGCGATGGCGCTAGCAAAACTAAAAGGACCATTTTCATAGACTGAAAGAGGTATTCAGGTATATGTATATCTGAAGCTTTATAGGTAAACGCTGCTCTTAAGGGTTTGGTTTTCAAGGAACTATAAACTAGACTAGACAGGAAAAGGTATTAATATTAACTAGAGAACATATCAGCGTTTGGACTGGATAAAGAAATGGAACCGGACTCTGCGGTTGGCCTACAATCTTGTATTTAAACCAAGGACTGAGAGGCTAGGATTTGTCGAAGGGGGTTTTCGATGTGACAAAAAAACTGTGACCGTGCTGGGTCTTTGGTGAAGTAAAACGCAAAATTGGCTATATCAACTAATCAACTTTTATTGGTTAAACGAAACTTTTACGATTTGTCGGTGCTAGTTGCACAATTAGCCCAATTTTTTTTAAACGGGTGCGATTTTTAGACCGAATTTTAACTTGGTCACTTCCACTAGATAGCATTAAAGATACAGCGAAGATAAACCTTAGGAAAACTGTAGTAGTGTGTATATGTTGAGACCATGAGGTCTCGCTGAATGAATCGTATCGTCGTGTATAAAACCGGCAACCGTCGTCATCCGGCTTTCATGAGTGTAAAGCTTAAGATTTGCTATAATCGTCATCAGCATTGAATGAGACAGAACCAGGGTAAACTCTGATCAGTTTAGTGCCTAAGGTTGCATTAGTTTTTCCCACATAGGTGAGATACCCTGTTTTTTTTTTTTCTGGGGCGTTTTTGAAGGTATTTCACACCTTTGAACACGTTTTCCCTTTAAGAGTCGCATCAGTTTATCACACCATCGTTATCAGACAAACAACAACTTCCCGCTTCTGCTAACGTAGGGAAAACTGTTTCTCTTTTTCTCTTCAGCTACAAATGGCAAAGAATGCAAAAATGTTTTTGATCGCGTGTATGGTTGTCGCGTGTTTTCTGTCTGCCTCTTCGACGAACCCCATGCAGCAAGCTCTAAACAGCGTCCATTGTGTGGTAAGGGGCTACACGTTCACAGTTCAGGTATTGGTTCTTCACTGCCTTTGTTAATGAGTTATTCATGTACTTTAATTCAGCGTAAATGCGTGCTCATGTTGCCTTTCGTTTGCTTTCTTGAAGCAGTTCTCGTTTCCCGTTTAGAAATTCTGTCGAGCCAGAAGCCGTTCATGGCAACGCATTGTGGTATTGATAATCCTTTCACTGTCAACAAAAGTTCTCAAACTCATTAATAATTCATTAAGAAAATACAAAGGAAATTAATGTTTAATGAGTGTTTGGAAATCGGATGAAACACTGCTTAGTGTTTGCATCCTTAATTTCTCCTTCAAAAATGATTTTGTTTGAGAAGAAATATCAAACATTCGACACAGTGTTTCATCACCAGATGAAACACCTCGAAGTTCGTCAAAAATACTCCGCTGCGCGTCGTATTTTCAACTCTCTTCTCGGTGTTTCATGTAATATATCAAACATGAGATGCAGTGTTTCATCACCAGATGAAACACCGAGAAGAGAGTTGAAAATACGACGCGCAGCGGAGTATTTTTGACGAACTTCGAGGTGTTTCATCTGGTGATGAAACACTGTGTCGAATGTTTGATATTTCTTCTCAAACAAAATCATTTTTGAAGGAGAAATTAAGGATGCAAATACTAAGCAGTGTTTCATCCGATTTCCAAACACTCATTAAACATTAATTTCCTTTGCATTTTCTTAATGAATTATTAATGAGTTGGAGAACTGGTGATGAAACACTGCATCTCATGTTTGATATATTACTTCAAGTAGTGTCAGCACCAATATTAGCTAGATTTAGAATCACATTTCAGTAAGGCAAACGTTAGTTCAAGTTGACGATTTCTCAATACAGAAAATGAGCAGATGAAAACTGTGCCGAACTAATTCTTATGTGGATTAAACTGGCGTGGTCGTGAAACATCTAATTTTTGTTGAAGCTGTAATGAACAGTGTGAAACGACAGATAAATGGAAACTTGGTCGCGTGGTACAAATCGATGTTTGCCGTTTTTTAAATATTCTATTATCTTCTAAAATCTGACTAAAAAACCAATAGCATCACGAAAAGTACTGCTGAAGCCGTTTCAAATGAAAAGTCACACCTTAACGTTGTCTACGGACTCCAGACAGGTCTACATGACTGCTAAACAATAGCCCGAAGGAATGTCTGCGTGTATTAATATACTGAGAAGCTATGATTCCAGGATTCTTTAAAATCTGCTCACTACACATTCCCAGAATCCTTATTAACCAGGCCCCAGTTGTTCCTAAGGTGGATAGCGCTATCCATCGGATAAATCACTATCCAGTGGATATGTACTAGAGACACTAATTGCGCTATCCACTGCTGGATAGAGATTTAGCTGGTGGATTGTGCTATCCACCTTTTGAACTGGAGCCAGACCGGCTTTCCATATACAATAGTCCTTTATATCATGTTGTTAAACAAAACCCGTCACTAATGATAATTAATTCAAAAAACATCGGGAAAAGTTTAAAAACGCTGCAGAAATTGTGTCCCTTCCACACTGATTCAGTTTAATTTGAGAACGCATCTTTTTCTCTTCAGTTTTGACCAACGACGGATACAATTTTTTTATATATATACTTATCCGGAAAATTTCATCTGGAAAGGCAAAGCTGGTAAAAAAAATACAGATTAGCGTTCGGAAAAGTCCCGATTTCTCTAGTCACAATTTAAGTCTGACATGTATTTGAAATCGTGCTTGAAAAATCGCGAATCTCTTGGGCCTTTCTGATTTTTCTTCACCACCTGCTGTATACTCCATGCTTTTGAAATGAAAATGTTCTTAATCTCTTTTTTTTTCTTGGTTTCCTGTTAGGTCGTAGGATGTCAGCAGCGCTCAGTCACAGTCAATACCTGTCTAGGGACCTGCCTGTCATTTTCGACGCCATCAGGTTTAACCGGAACCAAATATCATCAAGTGAAATCGTGCACATGTTGCCAGCCTATAAGAACCGAGAAAGTGGACGTGGGGCTCTGGTGCCAAGACAACGCCGATCCCTCCAAAATGGTGCCGTATTATCATCCCATCGAGACTGTTACCGAGTGCGCATGCGCGTCTTGTTGATTTGACTAAACTTAACTATTGCAGTCGCCTTTCTGAGTGAGAAGCGTTCTCATGGACAAAATTAGCCGTAATCAGTCACGCAACTGTCTACTTTCGTGGAGCAAGAAGGTTGCGGTGCGATTGTCATGGTTTAAGATAAAAAAAAATTGGAATGTACATTGTTTTTGATTCCAACAAAAAGTGTAATAATTTATAGACAAGTGTAGTTATTTTGTTAAATTTTTGAAAAAGATCTTCTCAAAAGTAGAAAAGAGTTTGACGAACTAGGGATGTGAATTTTGTAGTTCATACAACTAGTGAACAAATAACATGACCATGACATTGTACATCAAATAATAAGTATAAGACAATATTTTGTTTTCAAAACGGTCTTGATATGTTTTCGAATAAATTGCGTCGCTTATCGAGTAATATACGACTCATATTCACGAAGAAAGTCGTTTGTGGAAAACAAGGACGTGAAGGTCAGCGCCATAAATATGCAGTCCTTCTTTTTTTAACCTGCGATCAGGTGTTTTTTTTTTTTTTTCGGAGAAAGCGCGAAAGTAGGCGGACGGGGAAAGAGGATAAAAAGAACGTGCCTTTTTCCATTCGTCTCCCAAACAAAAGGGAAGGAGGGCCGCCTGATAGCAGGTTGTGTTTTCTTTCAAAAACAGTTTGCTTGCCATGTTTGGTAAAAAGAGAATGGGCCTTTATCACGATACGTCATATGGTACAAAAAGAACAAAAATATATATATATATACCTTGCTGGATGGCAAATGACCAGTGGGAGCTTGAAAAATAAGGACTTAGCTTTTTGAATGATGTAATCTCTTTGTGTTTTTGTTACCGCTCTGCGTCGTTTGCCCTACAGCAAGGTGTGTTTTGTACCATGCGACCGTATCATGCAAAGGGCCCATTTTGTACCAACCCTTGCCCTACTGTCGAAAAGGCTTAATAAGACACCATTCATCCGATGTGGAGCCTCGTGGATATGAAGTAGATGTTTGGCCTAATAATTAATATAAACTGATTCTATATTGGGCATTTTAAATCTTATACGTATTTTCTCCCAATGTTTAAGAAAGAGGGAGAAAGAGAGGTCTATGCAAATGAGGAGCCATCTTTTCATGGTACGGAATTAAAGGACGAGTTTAAATAAAATCCTCACTAGCGTAAGCGTTTTTCCGTAGTAGNTTTTTTTTTTTTTTTCGGAGAAAGCGCGAAAGTAGGCGGACGGGGAAAGAGGATAAAAAGAACGTGCCTTTTTCCATTCGTCTCCCAAACAAAAGGGAAGGAGGGCCGCCTGATAGCAGGTTGTGTTTTCTTTCAAAAACAGTTTGCTTGCCATGTTTGGTAAAAAGAGAATGGGCCTTTATCACGATACGTCATATGGTACAAAAAGAACAAAAATATATATATATATACCTTGCTGGATGGCAAATGACCAGTGGGAGCTTGAAAAATAAGGACTTAGCTTTTTGAATGATGTAATCTCTTTGTGTTTTTGTTACCGCTCTGCGTCGTTTGCCCTACAGCAAGGTGTGTTTTGTACCATGCGACCGTATCATGCAAAGGGCCCATTTTGTACCAACCCTTGCCCTACTGTCGAAAAGGCTTAATAAGACACCATTCATCCGATGTGGAGCCTCGTGGATATGAAGTAGATGTTTGGCCTAATAATTAATATAAACTGATTCTATATTGGGCATTTTAAATCTTATACGTATTTTCTCCCAATGTTTAAGAAAGAGGGAGAAAGAGAGGTCTATGCAAATGAGGAGCCATCTTTTCATGGTACGGAATTAAAGGACGAGTTTAAATAAAATCCTCACTAGCGTAAGCGTTTTTCCGTAGTAGTGGGTCCAAGTTGGGTGTACCTTACCAGGCGATCAAATACATGATCATCTCTTTGCGCTGTCCCCAAAATCTGAACGCCTGCAATAGGCTATGTACCTTAGTTTTGGGCCGAGTTGTTTAAAGGCCGATCAGCGAAAATTTTGACAATGACAAGTCGTATACTATGTTAGCAGATAACCCAAGATCAGAGTGAACAGGGGTTCGAACAACTCAACCCTGACTACTTCTGTAACTAAAAAATGAAAATCTTTGATGATCCCTTTAAGGGGTGGTTTGGCTCGCGCGTTGCTGTCCAATATTCAGTTGCACAGACCACCCACAATGGCCCACTTTTTTCAGTGGTTTTAATACCATGACCATCTATATTTTTTGCCTCTAACGGCTTTCCTGTTGGCCTGCAAACAGCTGACGTATTTCCGGTAGGAGAGGAGCGACGACCGGAAATACGTCTGCTGTTCGCTTGCTACTTTCCTGTTGGAGTCAAGAAACTTCTTTCAAGCGATCGATAAAAAATACAAGAAGACAAGAAATTTTCGTTACTTGATGTCTTAAAATTACTTTTTAAAATTTATTTTTCTACTGTGATCTCATATTAGGCCATACAAGGTTCACATTCTTACACAAAATTTTCTTACAAGGTATAGGAACAGTCGCGTTAGGGGCTTCTAGCACAAAATATATCGTGATACTAACAAGTTACAAGCTTCCAAGCGTGTAATTAACGTTTCATCTACCGCTCAAAATTTTCACAAAACAGTGGCTCTCATCCGTTGTTACGAACAGCTGTGGCACTGGCAATTTTCTGCTGATTCCACTTGTACTAAGGGGGAGACCCCTGGGTCGCAGTTTTCCAGGCTTACAATTTTCACACTGGTGAGGGACGGCTTGCAACATTCACACTTTCGTTTAAAATAAGGCGGGTGGGACAGCGGAATTGCGTATGACGCGCATGTACCAAGGCAGGCCTTTACTTGGGTGTACTTCGAATCACAGCCTTTCTTGGTGACCTCTTGTCTATAAGCTTCCCGATTGCAGTAGACACCAAACTGGGCAAACGGATTGTAGGATTGGCATGAGTGGAGGGAGGCAAGAAGCAAAACACAGCAGCACAAAACAGACACCTTCATGACTGAAACTGAAACGAAAAATGCACGTTAAATCGTTTAAAGCTTTCCTTATTAAGTGTTTGGTAATTTGGCCATTCTTTGGTTTTGCATTTCTACCTCTCTTGACTGGTTAAAAATCTCTCGCATTTTCTTAACCAATCAGGTGCAAAACGTAATATATCAAACATGAGACGCAGTGTTTCATCACCAGATGAAACACCGAGAAGAGAGTTGAAAATACGACGCGCAGCGGAGTATTTTTGACGAACTTCGAGGTGTTTCATCTGGTGATGAAACACTGTGTCGAATGTTTGATATTTCTTCTCAAACAAAATCATTTTTGAAGGAGAAATTAAGGATGCAAAAATGAACAGTTTTTCATCTGATATCCAAACACTCATTAAACATTAATTTCCTTTGAATTTTCTTTATGAATTATTAATGAGTCTGAGAAGAAACTGATCGTCACTTGTTCCCACTCGTTTCCCGCGCTTGCCACTCCGGACAACAGGCTTCGAGCTCTGATTGGTACATTTTGATGTTTGCATGCTTTTGTTATGCAGGCCAAAAATAGTTTTGATTAAAGTCAGAATAAGTTGAAAGAGAGGAAAGGTGAGAAAGGAAATTTTTAAGAGTGTATTACTACAATACTCGTCACATTTGTTGAAACACCTGTCACGTTATGCCCTCCCCAATGTTGATTCACGTTTCACCATTTTCAAAAATACGTGAATCACAACATTGGGGAGGTTTAAAAACTGGTTGATTAAAAAGACGTGACATGCAAAATCCTCAGTGACAGTCTATGTTTGAAAAATGAATTGATTAAAAAACAAAAACATCTAAGTGGTCGTTAAGCATTCTTTTCTCGTAGTAGCAAAATCCGTCGCTTGAATAAACTCAAGGCTCATTAAAATGAATCTGGTCATTAGCCAAGAGCACTTAGCTTATAAAAGGGTTAAAAGTTCGTCAACTAAATAAAACCAATATTACAAACAACCAAACAAAAAAACGTAAATAAACTTGCTAAAAATAGTTTTGCAAGACATATCTGCGGACGGAAATGGAAACGCCTTTTCTAATAGCTACTTTCATGGTTAATGGTTCGACTTGCAATATACCGTAGTTTTGTTCTTATTTTCGTTCCATGGATTCACCTCAACCTTGTTCCTAGTTCGTGCTCCGTAGGGACGAGTAGGAGAGAACCCTGGGAATGAATACAAGGCCTCAGCCTCAATTATTGTTTCGCCTGACTCACTTAAAAAAAAAAACACATTGTTCATCTTAAAGGCATAAGCCGACAAAAACTAAGCTTTAACAGACCACCACTGAAACTTAACTTCGAACTTGCTGATAATGCAAGTTAAAATGCAACGTCAGCAAGAATGGTTTTACTGCTGAAAATGATAACCAATCTGCGATCACGATCGCGAGGTGCTCCTGCCGCGATCAAGTGTTCTCGTCTTTGGAACGCAGCAACGAATACCTCATGGCATATTAAAGATTCAAAAACACTTTTTCAATCAGGCAACCTGCCGCTTTTTTTCCTTGGAACGCACTTCCCTTACTCCCAGCATTCTCGCTTGCCTCGTGTAGAAAAGCGTCCCATTTGCGTTCATTGTCACCGACGACCTCCGCAGTTTTCTATGATATGTTGTAGTAATAAAAGGAAAATGACGTCATTATTCCGTTTTTTTAATTTTAATCCAAGCAGAACTGGAGAAGAATGCTTAGAATATGCCCCGTTTTTTCCGGAATTAGAAAAGCAGGTCAATCGAACAGGATATTCCGCATTATTCTTTCGATTTTCCAGAATGAAGTCAATCGATAGCAGTTTTCTTTACTCTTAATCTTTTCTATAACTCTTTACAACCCTTGTAGGGCGGAGTATCTTTAAAAAGGCCCATTATCCCATTATAGGGAGTACCGCTTCACTAAACAATTTCACTGTCTACTGACCATTCCGCATTAAAATTTTAAAATGTTAAGTATGACTTCCACGACACGCATGAGATTCGCGCCTCTTCGTTCCTCTACCTACGGTATAAACACCTGAAACACTCGCCATTGTCTGACAGCACAATGTGATTAGATATACTGGAAAAATGAAAATATAAAGGAATTGTCGTTTGGCCTCGTGCAACGTGCAGCATGCAGTGGTGGAATACTTCCTTGCTCTGTCGCGCAATCGAGATTTTATGATTTTTTTTGTTTTTGTTTTTTTAAGAGAAAATTTGAATTTCAAATAATTTCTACACTTGGTTAATCGCTGAATTCAACACGTATTCTTTGGCAAAAACACTTTGGTAGTAGTTTGGCGTAAAACCCCTTGCAAAAAACAAAATAGCATTGAAAGCGGACTGCTTGTAAACGGCTGTGTTTGAATGTAACATGGTTTTGGCGGGCATTGTAACAGTCACTGGCTGTCGTTAGTGAACGCGTTGGCGTAGCTAGGCTTCAATTCACAGGTAAGCGGAACATAACATCTTAGCTAATGGATAGTACGAGAAAAACTGCCTATTTTTGAATCATTACTCACCAAGATTTAGTCGTGACCGAACGAGGGAATCCTTTTGATTCAAGCGTTTATGCGCTGACGATAAAAACCCCGTTGGTTGGTCACTCAAATGCTGTACTATATATCAAGTGACCTTTTAATACAAGGAGCAATGCGACACTTGAAATTCGAGTCCCTCGAGACGACTAAAATAACACGATTTTGTTGTTTTCTTGACTCATTGCCCCCCCTAGAGAGAACTTGGCCAATTTGCTCGCGGGCATCTGATCGGTGAAATTTTTGTGATTCTTTTGGAATTTTAAGATGATTTGATGCTAAACTCACGAAAAATTCCTTATTATTATTCATTATTATTATTTTGTCAGATAAAGAGCGGCTGGTAGACGAGCCTACATGAGAGCCAGTATAATGGAGAAGACAACCTCTTCAGATGACCCCCCACCCCTCACCCCCCGCCACTCACGAAAAAAGGATGAAGTCGCGAAAAATTTTCATCTCCTGATTTCGGGGATGAGGGGAGAGGAATATCTGGTAGCCTTACATTATCATTGTCCAGAATTATAGCCAGAAAATTTTTCCAGTGGCAACTCTCAAAATCTCCACGCTAGCTGTTGCGGCTCCATTGGCAAATAACATATACTCCCGGCGTATACTGTATATCTAGCCGACTTTTTGAAAACATACCTCAAAACGGACCAGAATATTCCCACAGGAGCCTGGCGATAGCCAGGTTTCTGGTCACTGCGGTGAGAAAAAAATAGGGGGCTTGCTGTCCTGGTTGGTCTCGTTGTCAAGCTCAGTCCCTGAGCTAATTATTCGCCATGGGCTGGGAAGGGGCCTCCATGTCAATCCCTAGGGGGGTAGGGTGCTGCAAAAGCGTTGTACTGTCTGTTAGTCTTGCTCTGGGAGAGTCAGTGCACTCGTCATGTCTGCCTTTAGTTTGTCATGTCAAACTCTTTTAATGCTTAATGCCCATTGACCAATGAAAGCATTCCCCTCTAGCGCGTGCTAGGCTGGGGGGGGGGGG